TGTCTGCCTGTACCGTTGAATCAGCCTGGCTGCTGTCAATGGTGTACAGCCAAAACTTCTGGCAATTTGGACCTGTGTTGCCCCAATTTCGGCCATGGCACTCTCTCTCTCTGCTCCTGTGACAGTCGTGGCATTTCTTTTGTGTGCTTTCATCACGTGTGGTTATACCCTGTTTCACCATTTTTTTGTCACCGCACGAGCGCCGTCAAAGGTGGCGCGTTCGGGTGAGGTGTTTTTTGGTACCTGTTCCTGGGCAGTCATATTCCCGATACCCAATTTCCACTAGTTATCGCTGTTTTTAGGAAAATTACAAATTGCCAACCTATACTTTCTTTTGCCGCTTAGTTAAAATACCTCTCATCACTTGGTCCCTCCAGCTTGACAACGGTGTAAGAATCTACATCGAAACGTCGCTATATGCAATAAACCAGAAGTTGTTATCCATTTCATATATACTCACCAACTTCTAGAATGCCACTCAAACAGTAAGTAAGGCGCCTTTTCCACATGGAGACAGTTAACACACTCAACACCCTCAACCGACCATTGGTAGTGTTGGGGGTAGCTGGGCATGTGATTGTTTGTTTTGTAAGAAAGATGATACAATAAACATGGATGAATTTACCTGACCCCTGCTTGGATTGACAGTCCTTGATGTGTCCTGTTTGTTCGACACGTCCCCTCTGTTTGTAAAAACACGATTACCGTTATTTCTCTTCGGGGTGGTGACAAATCGAGACTAAACCCACTGTTCAGTTGCTAAGCTTCTGTTTGTGTGCATATGCTTAGAATGATTATAGCTGGTTTGAGAGAGAGAGAGAGAGAGAGAGAGAGAGAGAGAGAGAGAGAGAGAGAGAGAGAGAGAGAGAGAGAGAGAGAGAGAGAGAGAGGATCCGGGTTAGAATATGTCTTCAGTAACCCACGCTTGTCGTGAGAGGCGACTAACGGGATCGATTCTCTGATTTGCCAGATCCAGACTCGATTATTTACAGCCCGCTCATATAGCTGGAATATGACAAATGCGGCGTTAAACAATTAAACGTTCAACCAGGGAGACTGCATTCAGGGAATTGTTTGTGTCGAGACATTAAAACTGCTCCCCATTGTTTCAAAGCGAACGTATTCCTTAAACGGTTTTCCTTACTATAGCGGTTAACATTTAAATAGACTTAGGGTCAGGTCGACATTTGAACGATGTGAATGTTGACAATAGGATGATACAGCGTTGTAGTGTAGTGACTTGGCTGTTGCGTTGTATGCATCAGAGCTTCACATTTACTGATGGAGTGAAAGGGAAAACTATGTAGACTGCCGGAAATAAAGGATACATTACACCGATGTCTGATGGTGTCTAAAAATGAAACAAACAAGAAATGGTTTTTCGAATGGGATGTATTTTATACGGGTGACATAGCTGTGTTTGAAGTCGACGACGTGAGAGCTCGTGTGTCATGTGTGGAGGAAAGCGTGAAGTTTTTAGCTGACCAATATGAGGACTGGAAGAAAAAAAAAATCAGATATTCAACGTGACCTGAATAACCTAAATGATCAGTACATCCACTATTGGTAACCCTGGTCACGAAAACTTGCAACTCAAAGAATCCGCATTAGGTCTATGAGGGATAATCTGATTTTGGCCAACATCCCAGAGACTGAAATTACCCCGACATTTGAAAGTTCCGAAGCGGTACTCAGAGATTTCATCCAACCTAAACTACATTTAGACAGGCAGAATATAAAATGCAAGAGGGTCCACAGGATTGGACGCCCCCGTCACCCACAACGGTCAGGTGACACAGTGGACCAAGCTCCCTCATAGCTATCATAAATTCATATATACAACCGGGGCGGTCGGGTAGCCTAGTGGTTAAAGCGTTTGCTCGTCACGCCGAAGACCCGGGTTCGATTCCCGGAATGGGTTCAATATGTGAAGCCCATTTCTGGTGTCCCCCGCCGTGATATTGCTGGAATTGTGCTAAAAGAGGCGTAAAACCATACTCACTCACTCATGCACTCATTTGTACAACCGAGAGGGACACAGTTAAGAGGGTCGGCAGAGAACTAAAGGGAACTGATTTTTCAATTGCTGTGTAGTTACAGAAGGCAGGGACTGCTGCCGTTGCTGAGAGATGCAAGAAGGAACAATAAAAAAGCTTACATGACGGTTGACAAACTGTATGTAGATAACGTGTTGCAAAAGGTCCCACCCTACCGGGTACAACAGCCTATCAGGTAGAGATAGGAAGACGACGGTGGTCGCGAGAATGTGACTGTACATACACTGATCCTAAAGCAACCTATTCCCAGGCATGTTTCCCAGTACGTGAGCTGAGGATCACTCACCTGGAACACAGTGATCCTATGAACAACAAAACTGCACCTGGCTTTGTTGTAACTGTACATGACATCTGTCTGAATATCACAGACAAAGTGAGTGAAGCTGATTGTGGAAATTGCAAATAACTCGCTGAATAACGCTGCAACTATATCTGATTTTGTATATTTGACTAATATGGGTATGGTAATATATTCTTCATAAAAAGAAACGCAAAGCCAGATTTATGTGAGGTAGGAAAATACATTTATACGAGGAACCCTACAAGGTATTGAGCCAAAATGTTGTGGAGAGAACACTTGGTGATTGTAGTCATCTCAGTTATCGGTACATAGGAAAAGTCCAAGGTGAAGGTCAGCTACCATCAATAACGCGTATGTCCCCCTTTGGAATCGATTGCGGCCTGACGACTCCTGCCCATGGAAGAGACGAGTATGCGAATCACATCCTAGGGAATGGTAGCCCACTCGGCCTGCAACTTGAAAGCCAACTGCTGCAACGTCTGGGGTTGTGGTTGACGTCGGCGTAGCCGTCTATCCAATTCATCCTACAGGTGCTCTATCGGGTTCAAATCCGGGAACCGGGGGCCGGGGGAGAACATCATCAGCTCTTCCATCCCCTCGACGGTGGAAGTATCTTGATTTGTCGCTAAACCACACATTTCTCCATCGCAGTTGAAGCCATACCCTATGTTAACGACACCAATGCAGTCGTTGTTGACGATGTTGTCGACTCAATATGACGCGTCTAATAGGACGTCTTGCTAGTAGACCTGCTGCTCTTAAACGGTTTCGCACGGAGATTCTGCGCAGTCCGGGTATTTTGGATGCGGTTGGGGTGGCTGTGGTCGTCCTTTCACGTAGGTGGCGCAGTCGGATGTAGCAATCTTGGGCGGGGGTGGTTTCTCTTGGTCGTCCCGACATTGGCCGATCACATGTTGACTCATGCTGTTGAAACCGTTCCCATAGCCTTGTGATGGTGTTGGGCGCTACATTGAAAACCATGGCTACAGCTGATCGGGATTCCCCTGCCTGCAAGCGGCCTATGACGTTGTTTCTTTGCACTTCTGTTAATCTTGGCATGTTGTTGAACTGTCACTGTTCGATTGAAGCAGATGCCAGGCAATCAAATACCCTGCACTTTAATACCGTTCATAGTGCTGCTGGACGTCGTACGTATTTCCCGGCTAATGGTTTGCATGTTCTTGTTGTGATCATTTTGATCCGGGAAATTTGTCACTGACACTATAACATATTAAACCTCTTCATTTTGCACCTCTTGGTCCGTTATTTTGCTTTTATGGCCAAATATACCGTATTGCGTTTCATTTTTTGAAGAGTATATATCAGCTTCTAAACTCCAAAAACCTGAAATAGTCTAATATTGTAAATGCTCATCTTTTATAGTATTCTTTATTAATTGTTATTTATCAACAACATCATAATTATAAAGGAATAAGACATAGCACACTGTCCTCGTTCTTTAGGTGTCACCGTTTTTTTCAGATTGTGATAACCTATTTATGTCATCTCAGCCCAGCACGTATTGTTGAAGACCGCCTCCGTGGTCTAGTGGTAGAGCGTCCGCCCGGAGAGTGGAAGGTCCGGGGTTCGATCCCCGGCCGCGTCATACCAAAAGACGTTAACAGATGGTACTTGTTGTTACCCTGTCTGGCGCTCGGCATTTAGGGTCTAAAACAAGGACTGGTCGGCTCGGAGTCGGTATACTGTGTCTGAGTGGGATATTCATGTTTAACTGCGGCATGGTATCTCAGTAGCTAGCACTATAAATCGGCATCAGTCCAGACTAGTGCAAGCAGCCACACAAACACACACACGTACATGCACGTCGCTATATAAGTGCAATAATCTTGGACGCGACGTTAAACCCGATTTCCCCATTCGTCACAACTCGCCCCTTTCCGTAACCTGCTATTCGGCTTGTCCCGGAATAACACGAGTTGGTCACGAATGCCGATTTCCCCACACCTCACCCGTATTGTTGAAACGAGAAGGTCGATGAAGCAGTCATAAAGGACCGCGTCGATGCGACGTCAGACCACGGTTACTGCCTGTTTCGAAACATCTTATTCTAACGTGTTATTCTAATATGTTCGAACGAAAACAATAGAAGTAAAGCACAAGATAAAAATGAGCAAAATGATGAGAAATGTGGTGTCATAAAGATGCTCATTTAGCAAAGGGCGGGGGTGGTTTGGTCGATATTTGAAAACTGATGAGACATTACTTACTTAGTAATGATTTTTTTCTCAGAAAATAATAATAGCGAAAATAGAGGCACATTGATCATAGAATTAAATCAAACTTTACAATATCCATTAATATAAACGATATTCTCATACAAATAAGCAGTTTTAACATATTTAACTTGAAAAACGTAACTGGAGGAAATTTAATCTTGTTCCCATGGCAACGTTGTGATGTCGTTACTGTGGCATTGGAGAGTGAGTGAGCATTGGTATGATTTCAAATATCAGACCCATTTTTTCCCTTTATTAGGAACTTCCAAAACAAACTGCAAGCTCCGCATACACTGGTGATTCCCACGTGATTGGTCATTACTTTTTACGACAACAAATATCGGCTTACGGCAAACAATTCATTCGGAAGAGATCGCATAATTCCGTCGAGCCCATTCGAAATGCACTGCTTCCAGTATAAACAAAATCATACAGAGATGTTCAAAATGGGCATGTCATCGACTGGGGAGGAGGAGATGTAGAAACAATCAAACCAATTGTATCATTATCAAGTGAATGTGACGGATTGTTGTGATTATTAATCATCAACATGGGGAACAAAGCCACGACATTCACCGAGGAGCAGTTAGAAGCGTATCAGGCAAGTGACAGTGTGCGATTCTTCATTGTAACAATGTCGACTGTCAACAAAATACTGGGAAAGGGGTACATCTTGGACATTTATGAAGTTATTAACAGTCTAAATAGTGGACACTTTGGCAACATTGCAGTTTAACCGGCGCAAATAAAAACGAGATATATTTGAAAATAGGTTATGTGTACATACTTATGTTACACATTTATGTATTTCATAAACACGCGAGTGTGTTTGGGGATGGTAAATATCCTGCATTAGGAATAAACATTGTATTTAGCGAGCCTTGGCGAGCTAAATACATAGTGTTTATTCCTAATACAGGATATTTACCATTCCCAAACACACAAGCGTGATAACCTCTTTATCATATGATGTCATTCTTTAATTCTGTGCTTTAAAATCGCTTTCCCTCTCTCACAAACATTGCGAGTTTTCCTGGAATGCGCGCATTAATATTTATTACGTCACTGGGTAAGTGATGTGTCAGTCGGACAGTGACAGTAGCCAATATAGTTCCAACTGAAATCTGTTTCTTATACAGTGGCGAAGCAACATATACACAAAACAACAGTTGTTTTTAATTGCCTTTCGCAATCCATCGGTCTGTCCGCTAGAGTAACTGCCCTTTGTCAAAAGGGAAGCTACTCTAACCCTAGTCTATGAGACGTCACGGCCACGGTCAGACGTTGTTGACAGTTGGTCTGTCCTGTCATAACGTTAAGAAGTGTAGTCAGATGTACACACAGCGACAAGACGAAACAAGGTAACAATTCAAATATATTTCGGCCGAATCCAACTATTTTATTTGTGGAGAAGGTTTCAAGCCGCAGAGGTCTACAAGCACAGATATGGCTACTGATCCCGCTTGGCTAGGCCTCGTGCCCTCGCAAAATTGTTTCGAAATTTATATCTCCAAAGTTGCCAAAACTTATAAAATACCTTAGCTACGTCACAGTTAGACACTGATTTTCAGTATATTAGACTGTTCTTTTGATAATGATAGCAATTATCCCTGTAGTTTATCCAGATTCCCGATGGTTAATTCTGACTCGATCGCCGAATGTCAAAGGCGACGCCATGTTTGTTTATAAACAGTGCAAGTAGTCCTACTTGTCCTTTGATATTTTGATCTCTATCCGCATATGACCCCAACGGATATTGTTTTTATCCGTTGGCTTTATCCTGCCGAGAAACCTACCCATTATATGATAAATATTATTAATCCTTAGGGTTAGTTTTGTTTGGTTAGTGTTGGGGAAACCCAACTTTATCCTTTGATCCTTGAGAAAGTAGTGGCGGACATATTCTGACATGGCTCCTTAACTCAGTGTGGAATGTTTCATACAATAGACATTTCAGGTTCCACTGATTGTCGGTTCATGTTGCAATGTTGTTCTTATCTTTTGTTGTCAGCACCATACACATGCTTGTAAAGTCGAACCTCGTTGTGTCAAACTCGTGGGGACCTGGAAAAAAGTCTGAGTTATCTGGGGTTGGAGACAAACAACAAAGTGAATTCGAATCCAAACATCATGTATGAGAAATTATTACAAGGTGGCAAGGGCCCACTGAAATTAAGCAACAGGGTCCCAAGGCCCATTTACATTACTTTCCAGAATGATCTCTGAGGTCTAAATGCAGCACTAGATTTCAAGGCGTACATTATGTTTTAAATTGCAGAGCCCAGATTGCTGGTGGTGAAGGGGTGGCAAGTAAGGTGTGGCATCGACATCACTGTCGCTTCCTGGATTGGTGGCGTTGAATAAGTCCTCGCTCGAATAGTAGATTTGCTAACATAGTCTTAATCTGTTTTACTCATTTGTCAATTTTCACGTGTCGACGGCAGTCAAGTGAGAACGCTTCCGTAACTTACAGCCGGTGTGTATACAGTTTTAAATAAGCTTGCGACTTTGATGTACAATGATGTAAGGTATACTTGTTATTGGGATCGATTGGATACTGACATGTTGTTTGAAAGCATCCAACCTTCGATGTAATGCCATCAATTGCAGTGGGTCAGTCAATTGTGAGAGAAACGAGTTGAAAGTTTGACGAATATGGGTGTGTGGACATTATTTTCTTATTTGAACTGTTTGAGTCATCAGGGGAATTGTATGCTTAAATGAGTTTGAGACAACCAGGAACTCAACACATCCAGTTCGCCAGACCCAAGTGTAAATGATGATAAATATGGAAGGAGTTTTCAGGGATTGGAAGGTGAGTTCGAGACACCATCCATGTTGAACACAATGAGGTTTGACTGTAGTTGTAGGTTTCAAAATGGTACATTTATGATAAGATGTCTGCAACAGGTGTAACCTCAGCCCTTACTTCCACATGGAGTTGCTGTTATGGAGTGACTATTGTCACTAATAAAATGTTTGAACTTTGTTGAAATAGCATTATGCTCACTTATTTTTAACCTTTGATGTGATAAATACTTCATACAATTGTGTCATGTGCCAGTCAAAACTGACCAGATGATTTAGTCAAAATGGCCCATTTGTCTGGTAAATACAGACGACTGTTAGTCAAAATGGACCATTTAGATATTAGATTGAAACCAAAGTCCACATCTTAAGTCATATACAAGTATGTTTGAGTCATATACAAGTATGTTTGAGTCATATACAAGTATGTTTGAGTCGGATACAAAATAGAAAAACATTTAAAACCTGGTTATTTTCTGGATGACATATCTGTAAAATTGTCATTTTTGGTGCTGGTCTGTTTTCACTGACATCCTTTCTGTCTATTTGAATGAATGTGCACCCAAAAACTTGGTGATGATTATAGCATCATTCTCTGACAGTTCCCTCCAAGATAACTTTCTAATTTGATTTTCAGGACTGCACATTTTTTACGAGGAAAGAGATTTTGAGGTAAATTATTTACTGAATGTCATTAGTGTCAGCGTTGTCATGGAAAACCTTCCTGTTTGTATAATAACATCATCAAGAACAGTATTGTTTTTTCCTCATCTATGGTTACTTAAGCGTATCAAAAAATATGCTTGGATCTGGTTACTCGACCCTACCTAAAGTTTACTCCCGATCCTACCTTATTTTACTTATTAAATAAGACATTCCCCCGACCCTATCTTGATGTTTTTCATCATTTTGTTCAGTGCTGACAATATGATTTCAACATGTTTCAATAAATTCTTTTTCCCTGTTTAAAGGTTGATTGTATATCTGACATGTTGGCGAAGAAAGTTTTTGTTGTCATCCATGCAACAGCAAGAGACTTTAAGTGATAGATATGCCATACATAAAATATTTGAAAAAATAAAATAATTTTCCTACCTACCTTCCCTCTTTTATTTTTCCATGTAATAGGTACCAAACATATTTTTTGGATAGGCCTTACAGGGATAGAAAGATGCAGACTAACCTTTAATCTCTGAAAATATATAATTTTAATAGAAACAAACAACACCATTTATATTGAAAAGGAGCCCCAACGAGAAACTGGAAAATCAGTTTCACTCTAGCATTACAGTAAGGGCTGGGCAGAAAGCAAAATAATATATTTCAGGGACTGTGAGACTGACTATGCAGCATCCAAAATCCCTCTGAGCAGAGCTGGGCATCCGGAGTACCAAAAGGGGGTGGGTGACCGAGGGACTGTAAGACAGTCTAAGAAAGTGTGCCTTTTGGAATTTAAGTGTGCCAATTACAAGAATATTTGATCCATCGTCAGACACAAAGAGAGAGATTATTACCGAGTGTGTTTCTGTATTGCATTCATATGCGAGCGTTGTACATCTTTTTTATTCCTTATATATATGATATGTACAATACAGAAACACACAAGGTTATAATCTCTTTATCATAATGTCATTCTTAAAACAATGGATACTTAGATTTCACTCAATGATGAAGCTTTAGAAATCGTGTGTGAATACAATGTTTGAGTAAACTGCCCAATTTATCATAATTGTAGTGCCAACATTTGTGACCAACTCTGGAACAAGCCGAATATAGCGACTCGTGCCCTTCTCGTTTTCATTTTTGCGACTGGGTTCCATCTCAGCTCAAACAGGTTTAGCTTAAAGAATTGTCAACTTGTAGAGTAAAGATTCATGTATATTCCCCCCATATATCATATGTATTCCAGATGATATTTAAAACACATCGGGACTGACGGTATTATATAGCATGATTAAACACATTGATCTGTATCTTTGGTATATTTTTAGGTGCAACACATGTAAAATCATACTTATTCTTGAAGGATTCTTTGACAGAAGTACGTGAAGTCATACATGCATTCTGATTGGGCTGTCGTATTTTCGCACATAACATTCATCGATAGGGGGACGAGTCTTCTTGCAGGTTATGGAAAGGGGCAAGTGGTGACGACTGACTTGCAGCCATGTTTGTCGCCATGTTTCTGTCATAGCGACTGATTTACGACATCCATTGTCTGAAGAACATTTGATTGCAAAGGCTCATTACCCTGGAGCCATGACATCTTTATGCCTTGAAACACTTAGTTGCTGTTATTTATAAGATGCTAATCCTATTTGTTAATCCCCATTTTTGTGTACATCGACCATCTGCCATCCTGAACAGGATGTGACAAGTATGTCACTGATGATTTACTGTTTACATTTATATTTATTACTTACTAAATGTCAGGTGACCTTGGCTATATAAGCCTTGGTCCAGAGAGATTGAGAGAAGGGGTTTGACTCTCTTACCAAGCAGACCCCTCTCCCACAGCCCAGAGTGTTGTACCGACTCTCTGTGGCACACTCAGTTATTTTTCTAAGATATTGTAACTTGCTCATTGTTAATTGTTATTTAATATACTACCAGTTTAACTTAATACATTGTCCATCTAAGCCTTAATTATTTTATTTTACACGTTTGGGGTCCAAACTTTTTCAGACGGAGGGGAAGTTATCATGGTATAACATTTATACTAAGTTATCCTATAATAATTAGATCCACATCAAGTGCTTTTATGAGTTATCATGGTGTAATATTTATGCATCATTTCATATAATTATAGTTTAGCAAGTAATACTTATCATCAGGTCAAATGTATATATAAAATATCAGTAGTTTCAGTTATAGCTTTTTAGATAGATGCTAGCCTAAGGTAATGGGAGCGCATCTCCTATTTTAAATTAAAAATTTAAAAAATCAAATGTTCTTCAGACAATGGATGTCGTCAATCAGTCGCTATGACATTTCCGTGACACATTAGAAAGCCCCTAAGCATATTTGAAACTTTAGTCAATAGTTTGTTGAGAAAAAAGGCATTGCATTGATATATGGAGCTTGAAAGTAGTCCCTCATTTGCATATTTATGAGTCATAACAAGTTTATCGGGATGGTTTATCGCATCAATAACACAAGCCTTTATTTGATAAAATTCCGTTTCACCATGAGCATAAGTTTGATACTTAGTTTGACCCCTACCTTTCCATGTTTTCATCGAAATTGATAATCCTCTGTTTGTGAATAATGTTCTTCTTTGAGTGCTTTCATGTCATCATTTCATATTGTCCAGATTGCATGTGTGAAGGTATATTGACCTTTTTCACACTTTCGCCATCTTGGATCGAAAACGAGGCTTGGAGAGCATAGCTCCATGCAGTGAGAGTCGCATCAGCTCATAGGGAACAGACAGCATGTTGTGCATTTCACTGATGGACATTTCAAACAAACAAAAAATTGTATCCTCTGTATCTAATACAGAAGATATTTCACATTAAATCATAAGGTCCAACTAAAATATGCCTGTAATACACTGAAATTAGCATTTTGCTGTCAGGATCCCGGAAGTGAATCGAAAGGTGCATTTCGAGATACGTATTTCAGGAGAAATAGATTGTTTTATCATAACCTCGTCGGCATATAGGTACAGTGTGACAGTACATTCAATGACAGAAGTTTTGTATCGTAAATAAACCGCATAACATGAAATTGCTCAGTCAATGCGTGGCTTGGCGAACTCTAGATCGAGATTGAGATCATGTTTATTTCACGTTTCATAGTGGTGTTTGCTGCACAATGCACTATCGTTTTGCCATGAGTCCAGTTGACAAAAGACACTTTTTCTGCTATGATTTTCATTTTAACATATTACAATGTTAATTATGAAAATAATTCATGTGTCAAAATAAATATTCAGAAGGGGCGATAACTCTATTCAGTGTGTACAATGATGATACTTTACTTGTTCTTCAGACATCGCTTACTTAACTGATTATTGAGATTGCACCGTGCACGACAAAAGTAATAATGTGTGAACTGTTTAAAATAAGTTAAACATGTTAAAAGGAAACTAAAAATTGATAAATATAAATAATGCATGAAATTGAAGAAATATAAGAATTGATACAACTACCAACTTCTTGAATACCCTGACCTAATCCTGTATGATGATAGGTAATTGTATATCAAAAGGAAGCTACTAATACATTTATCCTGAATAGTTTGAAAATGTCTTGATCAGATATGAGTAGAGATAAAATAACAAAAGATAAAATCAACTTCAATTGGTAATCAAGCCAAGATAAAATATATGTATCGGTACAAATTATGTTGATCATGTTGATGGAACAATCTGGATTTCTCATATTTAACAAAGAAAAACAAACCAAAATTTTCATATCTTTATTTCTCACAATATAAGTTTTCAAAACTTAACATGAATTGGGTGTCTTTGTCAGTCAAAAGCACCTAATTAAATTCCAGGAGAAAATAATTTTCTTGCTTGTAAACAAATGGTACAATGTGCTTTTTTAGTGTCCGATAAATATTGGCCATGTTGATTTGTGAGTGAATAAGGCTTTTCACTTCCTCGTCCTATTTAAGTGAAATGTGACAGGAAGCACATTTGTTGATTGGATGAATATGGCTTTTCACTTCCTCGTCCTTTGACAGGACGCACATTGTAACCAGTGTGTTACTGCCAACAGAAAGCTCCACCAGACATCCATCACCCGGATACTAGTACTTCATTGTGTTGACTCGCTGGCCTGAAATGAATAATTCAATAATATTGTAATAATCTTCCTAATTCAATAACATTTTTTATAAACAATGCATATTCACCTTCTCTCAAAATATTGCTTATTTAGAAAACAACATTCTTCTGAAATAGAGAAGTTTAAGGAAAATTAATCACAGTGTGTAACATTACATGCTACTTTTGAACAATCTTGAAGGCATCAATTCATCTGAAATTCACTCTTGTTTTAATGAAACACGTTTTGATATTTGTATTATCAGTATGTATTTAATCATGAAATACTTTATTTAGTCTGACCATGCTGAAAACATACTTTTGCTAGAGTGAAATAAATAAGATTTTTATTAAAATTAGGTGAAATATCACGTTTTGTCACACCTACAGTCAGTCTGCCTCATTGACACTATGGTTTACTGAGTAAGGTCATGACTTGAATTTATTTTGTCAAATGCAATGTTTATCTCTTCATGTGGTTTACTAAAGTTGATATCTTGACTTGAAAATATTAACTTTGTCAGATCACAAGATGAAATATTATTAAACATATTTTATTGTCCAAAAAGACAAAGGGCAGCACTTATTACCGCCTTCTCCCTATATACAGTTATACATAATATTGCATAATGAAAATGAACAATTTACAGTTGAAGCTTCACATTGTGGAAACATAGTGCGCAATATATATATACAGTGCTCATATGAAGGATATGTAAAATGTGCTGGAAAGTGAAGACAGTTTGCATCTCATACATATCCTAATATTATACATTTTAGTGTTGAATATAGATTTAACAATATTAATGATTAACAGTTTGGAAACAATAATATGCTAGCTACTGAATCTGTTAGTCGTTTCTATAAATTTGTGTACAGACAAGAATATTTTTGTATTCAGGAAAACATCTAAGTTTGGATCACCAAAAAGAATACTATGTAGAGTATTTTGTCCTCCAAGATTATCGATAGCTGTCAGTATTGTCTCCCTAAAATCATCATATAAGGTACATTCAAAGAAGAAATGGAATGAATTTTCACAAGGAGCATGCTATACAAGGAACATGAGATAAATTCATGCTATCATCATTATTTGACAAGGAAAACAAATTTCTTCTATGTATTTATACTTTTTTATTTTTCTCGTTTTGATTGAAATATAAAAAAATATCAAAATGATCACACCACTTGACTTGATTGAAATAAACTAAAGTTCTAAAGATTGTTAACAATAGTAAAATATTACATCATAACAATATAATTATTGCAAAATGACACAGTAAGCACAACTATATTCTTATATATAAATTGATATGATTAATAATCAATAATACATGGCAATTGCTTGCACAAAAGAAATCTTTTTGTTTTAAAAGTTTCAAAACATGTTTGGGGACATAAAACCAGATGGGTTTCACAATTAAACAAAGGGAATAAATGAGTTATGATTGCAATACGCATGGGAATTAAAAATAATTCTTTTTATACTTTAAGTTTTTAGTAATTTCAATATCAATTTATGCATTTGAAATATTTGAATACAAACTGTTAAAGAGTTATCTGTTTCTGTAAATTATATAAAGATCACATGTAGATTGAACATTTACTGGACATTATTTAGTTGGGTTTTTGTTCATTTCATGACATGATTAAATTGGTACAGTAAAGTAAATATCATTTTGGTAGAAATATTAATTGTTACCAAAATTGCAGATCAAACTGTACTTTACTTTAAATATTTACACACCCTTTATGTAATAATTCAGTTGAAATATTACACCTCATGCTATCTAATCTTTCAACATTGACAATCAAAATAACAACTGTTCACAATCACAACAGCACAAGTAGATCTAGAGGTCTAATATTTTATTGGAATGCATTTGAGTCCATTACAATTTACATCAAATACGCAACTGATGCTAACTTCTGATTTGTTACGATTGTAAATTCTCAGTAGGTTACAATTTGATACATTATATCAACATATCAATTTAGTTAGTTTCTGACATATATCTAGATATGGTCAAAAGGTCAATATTTCGACTTCAAATACAACCCGCTAAGTTATTTAAACTCACAATAAATAGTTTGGCTTAATGGTGTGTAAACAATGAATTATTCTTTACAAGATTTCAGTAGCATTTGTATTAAGTCTGTTCAGCTACCATAAACTGCACTGGGAGTTACCAGGTGGTCATGGATACTTTAAATTGAAATCACAACAGAACGGCCAGACTCAAATTTATATCGGTAAGGAGTCCAGATAACAGTTGAATAGTTTGTCAATAAGAATAATGTTCAATACTTACGATAAATGTACCGGGATGGTTAAATTGTCACAGTTTGTCCCGATTGCGTGCCTTGTTGACATCTCCATGTGTTTCATGTGCTATCCAGCCTTCACCTTCTGCTCTCCAAGCCTCGCTTTCAAACCGGAAGTTTCGAAGTGTGAAAAAGGTCAATATCACTGGCTTAATGTAATGTGTGACCCTTGGGTGCCGGGAACTAACATTAACTCTGTCATTGGCACTCTTATACAAGTCATTGGGAATCCTTTCTTCATTGAATAACATTGCCTGTGTGTTTGTGCAGGGTGTTCAAACGCTTCCAGTTGCTGGATCCCGATCAAATTCCTTTTGACATGACTGGTAGCGAAACGAGGACACTCAAGATCCCAGTGGACACCATAGAAAACATGTCGGAGCTGAAGGTACGTTGTTGGCAGAGGAACAGGAAAACTCTCCAACCAGCCTTAGGTCTTGTCACACTTTTAATAGATTTCATTTGTGTCAAACCTGCTGAAGCAGAGAGGAATGAGGAACATGTTGTTGAAAGATAAATATGGTAAAGTCCCCCTTGGGTCAATAAGCATGATTAGAGTTTTCAAATCACAATACTACCTCTGATTAATGGCCATGTAATTGCAGAAGCTAATATTTAGAGAAAAGTATGTATTTCCTGGTCGTTTAGGGCAGAAACCACAATAGAAAGAAAACTGTTTCAAAACTATTCTCACACACAGACACACACAAACAGACACACGCTCATACAAAGAGAGACACGCAGATACAGACACACACTGCATGTTTGGTACCATATACAGCTAGATCTGCCCTGCTCTACATTGCATATCTCCTCAATATATTCAACTTTTTATCCAGCTACTAACCCTTCATACTTCTGTAAGCCTTAAGTTTTCACTTGACATCATGTCCAATATACATGTACAATGTATTAATATATGCACTGCTAGTACTATTACGTAAGGTTACAGTCTTTGTTCTAGAGCCAGACTTCCAATTAGGGGCCAAAGTCACAGACAGCTCCTTGTGTCAAGTGTTTTGTAAACAAACAGCTGAGTGTCAGCTCTCCTAATTTAACGCCTTTCATCTAAATTTTTTCATCCTTCAAAGATTGTAAAAGCAATATGTGCTAGAAAAAAGATAACTCTACACCATGTTCAGTCCCAAGTGCATAGCAAATAAGACTGCTGTGACTTGTAGTTTGTAGACAGAAGTGTGTCAGAGTCCCTAATCTAGATGTGGCGGTCTGACCCAGCCAAGATACCCTGATGTCTATTTTTGGTATTTTGTGAGATATGTTTAATCAAGATATACTGGTAGTTATATGTGGGAGTTTCATTGTGACCTAGTTACGTAACATATCCATGATATCATTTCAGGTTTTTGCTTTAGGCCTTTGAATATTTCTGATGGCATTCTTTAGTCAAATTAGTGTAGACTTGTAGACATTGTAGAGTGACTCATCATTGATCATGATCCTGTTGCAGGAGAATCCGTTCAAGCGCCGCATCTGTGAGGTGTTCTCGGAGGACGGCAGCGGAAGCATGTCATTCGATGACTTCCTGGACATGTTCTCCATCTTCAGCGAGGCGGCACCTCGAGACATCAAGACGGTCTACGCGTTCCGGATCTATGGTACAGTGACACCAGTGTTGTTAGATGGAGATTACACTTCTTAGATGGTCATAGTAAATGTATGCCAAGTTTGTTTGTTGTTTAACGCTGCACTCAGCAATACTCCAGCTGTACGACAGCAGTCTACACCTAATCAAGTGTAAACCAGCCCATCCAGTGATTGACATCATGAGCATCAATCTACGCAATTGGGATATTATGACATGCATCAACCAAGTCAGTGAGCCTGATTACCTTATCCTGTTTAAAGTTTCCTCTTATGACAAACATGGGTTGCTGAAGGCCAATTCTAAAGTGGAATCTTCACCAGGTTATGCCATGTAACACAAGAGATTGGATCCCTATTACTCTAATTGATACTAAGCAAATCCTCCTTTTAGTTATATTAATTCTGAAAAAAAACATCTGACTGAACTTCCTTTACTCAGATTTTGATGGCGACAACTATTTGAACCGAGAGGATCTGGAGAAGACATTGTTTTGTCTGTCGGGAAAGGAGCTTTCCACAGAGGAGGTCACGTTCGTTGTGGACAAGGTTAGATCAACAGTTTTATGATTTCACTTAGTAAAGTTTTTCTGTGTGTACTATCCAGTCATCCTAGAAACAGGTGTAGGTGGCAGCATTACAGATAATTGCAGAGATTGTGGCCCTTAGTAGAGTAAGATCTGTTGATCAAGTCAAGTAGAAGCTACCTTATAAAGAGAGATTTGGTTTACAATTGGAAAGATTTCTGACCTGGGGTTTTAAGCATGTTGAACTGTGAGTCCAGTGAATGAGGTGGCTGCTTGTTATAAAGGACACTCTAGAATTACACTGGGGGGTTTCTGCTAAATTGCATATTTTATGAATACATAATGCCATAAAGAAGTGGTCAAATGTTACAAATGTTATATTTGCGTTATGCTTTCTCAGTAAAGTACAGATTCTAGCACTTTTTGGGGTTGAGTCCCATCCAGGATTCGAACCCACACTGCCAGAGTGAGGCACCTAATCACCAGCACACAAAGTTAGCGATCTAACCCACGCAGCCACCGAGGCTTCTAGGCATATTTTATGACTGCTTCTTTTATTGGCTATAATTGTACTGTAATACATGGTAATGTCACTGTATACATGCTAGATGTTTTTGGACTATTCCTTCTATCTGAGCAGTTAATTACAGTGTACCATGGCAACAAGACAATCAGGTCATTGAAGTATACTGTCTGTCAGTGTTTAGGCATGTTATCCTAGATTCCTTGCGTCATCAGCTTATACAAACAAAAGAACTTTCACTTCAGTCAATGTCCCACAGTTTCAAAACAATAATTCTCTTATTTTTAGAAAATATTCTGGATGATATTTAGTAATTGAGTTGAAAGTTAAATGTTATATCAGATACATCTCAGCCATATGGTGTTGATAGGGATAATTTTACTGAGTGAGTTGAAGGGTTAACATTATATCAGCATTTTATGAGCCCACTGACATGACTGCTATTGACTTGTTTCTTCTCCCGTGCAGGTGCTGGAGGAAACTGATTTAGATGACGACGGATCATTGTCATACATTGAGTTTGAGCATGTCATCTCTCGGGCTCCAGACTTCCTCAAGTGAGTTGATGTTGAAATGACGCAGTAGCAAGTCCATGTGTGTACATCCTGTTTTGGTAGCTTTAGATTAGATGTTAGGATCAAGGTGGCTGAAAAGTCTAAGTATGATGGAATGCATTGATGGAGTTGGTAGGTAATTATTTTTCAACATAATCCCCTCTGAGGTCCCCACTCTTCTGCCAACTGTGCTCGAATGCCTGGACCCCAGGGTGTAGAAGGTTTCCTGCTGGTGGTGTACAGAATCCTCCACAGGAGAACTGATGTCATCATTTCCATAACGCTTGCCACCTCAGAAGAGGTGGAAATCTGACCGTACCAAATCTGGTGGGGATGGAGGATGTTTAAAGCCACAGTCATGCATTGCAGCCATGGCTACAACACTTGTGAGCAGGTCACAGGGTGCACTGTCCATGGCTACAACACTTGTGGCAGGTCACAGGGTGCACTGTCCATGGCTACAACACTTGTGAGCAGGTCACAGGGTGCACTGTCCATGGCTACAACACTTGTGGCAAGTCACAGGGTGCACTGTCAATGGCTACAACACTTGTGCGCAGGTCACAGGGTGCACTGTCCATGGCTACAACACTTGTGAGCAGGTCACAGGGTGCACTGTCCATGGCTACAACACTTGTGGCAGGTCACAGGGTGCACTGTCCATGGCTACAACACTTGTGGCAAGTCACATGGTGCACTGTCCATGGCTACAACACTTGTGGTAGGTCACAGGGTGCACTGTCCATGGCTACAACACTTGTGGCAGGTCACAGGGTGCACTGTCCATGGCTACAACACTTGTGGCAAGTCACAGGGTGCACTGTCCATGGCTACAACACTTGTGGCAGGTCACAGGGTGCACTGTCCATGGCTACAACACTTGTGGCAGGTCACAGGGTGCACTGTCCATGGCTACAACACTTGTGGCAGGTCACAGGGTGCACTGTCCATGGCTACAACACTTGTGCGCAGGTCACAGGGTGCACTGTCAATGGCTACAACACTTGTGGCAGGTCACAGGGTGCACTGTCCATGGCAACAACACTTGTGGCAGGTCACAGGGTGCACTGTCCATGGCTACAACACTTGTGAGCAGGTCACAGGGTGCACTGTCCATGGCTACAACACTTGTGGCAGGTCACAGGGTGCACTGTCCATGGCTACAACACTTGTGGCAAGTCACAGGGTGCACTGTCCATGGCTACAACACTTGTAGTAGGTCACAGGGTGCACTGTCCATGGCTACAACACTTGTGGCAAGTCACAGGGTGCACTGTCCATGGCTACAACACCTGTGGCAGGTCACAGGGTGCACTGTCCATGGCTACAACACTTGTGGCAGGTCACAGGGTGCACTGTCCATGGCTACAACACTTGTGGCAGGTCACAGGGTGCACTGTCCATGGCTACAACACTTGTGAGCAGGTCACAGGGTGCATTGTCCATGGCTACAACACTTGTGAGCAGGTCACAGGGTGCACTGTCCATGGCTACAACACTTGTGGCAGGTCACAGGGTGCACTGTCCATGGCTACAACACTTGTGGCAGGTCACAGGGTGCACTGTCCATGGCTACAACACTTGTGGCAGGTCACAGGGTGCACTGTCCATGGCTACAACACTTGTGGTAGGTCACAGGGTGCACTGTCCATGGCTACAACACTTGTGGCAGGTCACAGGGTGCACTGTCCATGGCTACAACACTTGTGAGCAGGTCACAGGGTGCACTGTCCATGGCTACAACACTTGTGGCAGGTCACAGGGTGCACTGTCCATGGCTACAACACTTGTGGCAAGTCACAGGGTGCACTGTCCATGGCCACAACACTTGTAGTAGGTCACAGGGTGCACTGTCCATGGCTACAACACTTGTGGCAAGTCACAGGGTGCACTGTCCATGGCTACAACACTTGTGGCAAGTCACAGGGTGCACTGTCCATGGCTACAACACTTGTGGTAGGTCACAGGGTGCACTGTCCATGGCTACAACACTTGTGGCAGGTCACAGGGTGCACTGTCCATGGCTACAACACTTGTGAGCAGGTCACAGGGTGCATTGTCCATGGCTACAACACTTGTGAGCAGGTCACAGGGTGCACTGTCCATGGCTACAACACTTGTGGCAGGTCACAGGGTGCACTGTCCATGGCTACAACACTTGTGGCAAGTCACAGGGTGCACTGTCCATGGCTACAACACTTGTAGTAGGTCACAGGGTGCACTGTCCATGGCTACAACACTTGTGGCAAGTCACAGGGTGCACTGTCCATGGCTACAACACCTGTGGCAGGTCACAGGGTGCACTGTCCATGGCTACAACACTTGTGGCAGGTCACAGGGTGCACTGTCCATGGCTACAACACTTGTGGCAGGTCACAGGGTGCACTGTCCATGGCTACAACACTTGTGAGCAGGTCACAGGGTGCATTGTCCATGGCTACAACACTTGTGAGCAGGTCACAGGGTGCACTGTCCATGGCTACAACACTTGTGGCAGGTCACAGGGTGCACTGTCCATGGCTACAACACTTGTGGCAGGTCACAGGGTGCACTGTCCATGGCTACAACACTTGTGGCAGGTCACAGGGTGCACTGTCCATGGCTACAACACTTGTGGTAGGTCACAGGGTGCACTGTCCATGGCTACAACACTTGTGGCAGGTCACAGGGTGCACTGTCCATGGCTAAAACACTTGTGAGCAGGTCACAGGGTGCACTGTCCATGGCTACAACACTTGTGGCAGGTCACAGGGTGCACTGTCCATGGCTACAACACTTGTGGCAAGTCACAGGGTGCACTGTCCATGGCCACAACACTTGTAGTAGGTCACAGGGTGCACTGTCCATGGCTACAACACTTGTGGCAAGTCACAGGGTGCACTGTCCATGGCTACAACACTTGTGGCAAGTCACAGGGTGCACTGTCCATGGCTACAACACTTGTGGCAGGTCACAGGGTGCACTGTCCATGGCTACAACACTTGTGGCAGGTCACAGGGTGCACTGTCCATGGCTACAACACTTGTGAGCAGGTCACAGGGTGCATTGTCCATGGCTACAACACTTGTGAGCAGGTCACAGGGTGCACTGTCCATGGCTACAACACTTGTGGCAGGTCACAGGGTGCACTGTCCATGGCTACAACACTTGTGGCAAGTCACAGGGTGCACTGTCCATGGCTACAACACTTGTAGTAGGTCACAGGGTGCACTGTCCATGGCTACAACACTTGTGGCAAGTCACAGGGTGCACTGTCCATGGCTACAACACCTGTGGCAGGTCACAGGGTGCACTGTCCATGGCTACAACACTTGTGGCAGGTCACAGGGTGCACTGTCCATGGCTACAACACTTGTGGCAGGTCACAGGGTGCACTGTCCATGGCTACAACACTTGTGGTAGGTCACAGGGTGCACTGTCTATGGCTACAACACTTGTGGCAGGTCACAGGGTGCACTGTCCATGGCTACAACACTTGTGAGCAGGTCACAGGGTGCATTGTCCATGGCTACAACACTTGTGCGCAGGTCACAGGGTGCACTGTCCATGGCTACAACACTTGTGGTAGGTCACAGGGTGCACTGTCCATGGCTACAACACTTGTGGCAGGTCACAGGGTGCACTGTCCATGGCTACAACACTTGTGGCAAGTCACAGGGTGCACTGTCCATGGCTTCAACACTTGTGGCAGGTCACAGGGTGCACTGTCCATGGCTACAACACTTGTAGTAGGTCACAGGGTGCACTGTCCATGGCTACAACACTTGTGGCAGGTCACAGGGTGCACTGTCCATGGCTACAACACTTGTGAGCAGGTCACAGGGTGCACTGTCCATGGCTACAACACTTGTGGCAGGTCACAGGGTGCACTGTCCATGGCTACAACACTTGTAGTAGGTCACAGGGTGCACTGTCCATGGCTACAACACTTCTGGCAAGTCACAGGGTGCACTGTCCATGGCTACAACACTTGTGGCAAGTCACAGGGTGCACTGTCCATGGCTACAACACTTGTGAGCAGGTCACAGGGTGCACTGTCCATGGCTACAACACTTGTGCGCAGGTCACAGGGTGCACTGTCCATGGCTACAACACTTGTGGCAGGTCACAGGGTGCACTGTCCATGGCTACAACACTTGTAGTAGGTCACAGGGTGCACTGTCCATGGCTACAACACTTGTGGCAGGTCACAGGGTGCACTGTCCATGGCTACAACACTTGTAGTAGGTCACAGGGTGCACTGTCCATGGCTACAACACTTGTGGCAGGTCACAGGGTGCACTGTCCATGGCTACAACACTTGTGGCAGGTCACAGGGTGCACTGTCCATGGCTACAACACTTGTAGTAGGTCACAGGGTGCACTGTCCATGGCTACAACACTTGTGGCAGGTCACAGGGTGCACTGTCCATGGCTACAACACCTGTGGCAGGTCACAGGGTGCACTGTCCATGGCTACAACACTTGTGGCAGGTCACAGGGTGCACTGTCCATGGCTACAACACTTGTGGCAAGTCACAGGGTGCACTGTCCATGGCTACAACACTTGTGGCAAGTCACAGGGTGCACTGTCCATGGCTACAACACTTGTGGCAGGTCACAGGGTGCACTGTCCATGGCTACAACACTTGTGGCAGGTCACAGGGTGCACTGTCCATGGCTACAACACTTGTAGTAGGTCACAGGGTGCACTGTCCATGGCTACAACACTTGTAGTAGGTCACAGGGTGCACTGTCCATGGCTACAACACTTGTGGCAGGTCACAGGGTGCACTGTCCATGGCTACAACACTTGTGGCAGGTCACAGGGTGCACTGTCCTGGTGGAACAACACACCTTTGTGAGTTTTCCATGACGTTTAGCCTTGATATTCTCACACAGTTGCCTGTAAGCAGATTAGCATAATATTGGCCATTAATGGTACGACCATTTGGAAGATAGTCTACCAGTAGGATTCCTTTGGAGTTCCTGAAAACTGAAGCCATCACCTTTCAGCTGATGGAACAGACTTTGCTTCTTTGGAGGAGATGTTACATGTTTCCACTGCTTTGACTGTTGTGTAGACTGTGGCTGAAAGGGGTAAACACCTAGTCCCATCCATTGTTGCAAATCGCTTGACAAAATCAGCTTCGTCTGCTTCTAGGCGTTATAATTTCTGATGAGAGATGATGAACCTGGAATGTTTCTGATCAGGAGTCAGAAGCCTTGGAACCCAGCACGCTGAAACATTCCATGCTTTGTCATGCCCAGCTCATTCCCCAGAATGTTCTCAACTCACCCATGAGTGATGCCTACAGTCCTGGCTATGTGATGTGTGGGGAGTCATCAATCATCTGTGATCATATCATGTAATATATCAACAGTTTCCTTCTTGGTGACAGTTGAAGGTCTTCCTGATCGTGTGTCCTCTTTGAGGCTCTATTTTCGTCTCTTGACCTCCCCAGCCCCACCTAACAGTGGCTAAAGGAAGGAACATCATCCCCTAATGTTGACACCATGCCAGCATGGTCCTTAATACAGGGAAACTGTTGAGGGTGTACAATACGTCCTTCATGGTGAGACTCAGAACCTTTCAGCCACCCCTCGTAGATACATTTATTCTCTGTAGGATCTAAAGAGTAAATGTAAGAGTGGTTACTTTTTGTTTGAAATGATTACCAAGAGCACTGACTTTGTCTTTGGCTATGATCCATCCCTTATGTCACATTCCTAATTATTAGACATCAGCATCATAATCTGCTTTTATCACAAAATAATAAAAGTACTTAATGCAGAGAAGGCAAGGAAAGAATTATCTCACTCTATTGCAAAGTAATGTCCACTTGCATTAAGTCCAACTTAATTGACTGTGACCCTTGTGGGGGTTCCACGTTAGAATTGGTCCCCAGCAACCTTTGTTGGTTGTAAGATTTTGTTGGTTTGTTTAACGCCGCACTCAGCTGTATTCCAGCTATATGATGGCAGTCTGTAAATAATTGAGTCTGGACCCGTGATTGACATGATGACCATTGATCTACGCAATTGGGATGCCGGTCGTAAGAGTCAACCAGATGGATCGGGTGGTCAGGCTCAGTGACTTGGTTGATAGGATGTCTCTGACCCGACGATGGGGCTCACACTTTAGTATATCAATCACTGGATTGTCTAGTCCAGTTTATTGCTTACAGGTTACCATTATTTAGCTGGAATGTTGCTGAGAGCGGCATCAATCAACAAACTAACAAAGAAATAATAAAGGGGGCAAGGTTCTTAACCAACACTCGATACTCGGTCTGTAGTCTCCTTGCCAGAGCTTGTTGGTTCCACCAGCATCACTTTGTGCTTTCCTTTCACATTGATCTGACATCTTGTATAGCTCCTAAATTGTTAAAAGAAGTTAAACATCTTAAAACCCATTCCCTTAACTCGTATCATATTCTTTGTTTCAGTACGTTTCACATCAGGCTGTAGCTGGGGGGCTGATGGCTTGTTTGCTGTCTTCTGCTGCTGATGTATCAGTTAGAAACAGTTTGGTTTTAAAGATGTCAAATCAAGTGTCACTGGTGAGAGTGACCACATTTTCCTGTATATATCAGCAGTATAGCCTATCAATATGATTACAGAAATTTGAAATCATATCATTCATAGAATCATAACATTGACGTTTATTGTAGATAAACCATTTTCCATTGACAGAGCATATGTCATTGAACATTGAAGGCATGGCAGAGTGCTATGTTGCCATGGTTTCACAAACTACCTTTGTAGTAAAACAAGTGCATACTAGGTTTATCTAACACCAGTTTAGACACCACAAATTTTGACATTATTTTTATTTAAATATTTATTTAGCATAATTCATTGGTTAAACAAAATGCAAGAGACTTGCCGGGGTAAATTGGCTCCTTGTTGTTATGTCTTCTTTCAAGGCTCAAGAAATGTTCTGCCTGCTACTCAAGTGCCAGAAACATCTTGCAGGATTCTTAATACTCATGAAACCTTTCTTGTTTTCTTCTGTCCTACTGATATTAAGTGATATCTGCTGCATTAATGAACATTGGTTACGGAGTACTTTCCCTTGTATGGATGCCAAGATTGCAACCACTCAGAACTGGGCCTGGGGCCTGTTTTACAAAGGGATCGTAGCGCAACGACTGTTGTAAGTCTATGTTACAGTATGGGAGTTACGATTGTCTTTGTGCTACGATTGCTTTGTGAAACGGGGCCCTGGACTAGACAGGGAGACTCTTAGACATAATTTCTACTTTGTTCTACATTGGAATTTTTTGTTGATGTTTACCCACAATCAGAAATGTATTTCTGTGGGATGTCAGTGTAAGGTGTGAGTACAGTGCAAGAAGTCTAGGTGGCTACAAGTATACACCGTGTGATGTAGGAATGTCGAACCCCGTCATACATCAACAAATATGTTCCTCATCCTCGGACTATGGACTGGCTACTCTAAGCATTTTTCATTGTTCTTACATGATTTTATTGGTTGTTTTTAACATGTTTGATTCTGTGCAATATTGTCTCACTCTGGAGATGTTGTTTTGTTTTATTTATTTTCTGTTTGATGAGCGTTTCCACATTGTAGTGTTTATTATACTATTCTAGTCACTCATAAGTGGAAACAGAGAATCAAGATGAACATCTGTAGATGGATTTTTAATTTTCAGGGATTATATACTGTTGATTATTATGTTATTAATTGTTATGTTATTAATTGTAATAGGGTATGGATACACCTCCAGTTAGGTGCATACCACTTTTATAGAGGCAATCCCCTTTTGTGCCTGTTTCTTGTCATATGCAATCATTAAGTGGCTTTGTTTTACATGAACAATTTTACAATCCTGATCAGGCAACATTTTATATATTTTTTGAAGTTTTCGAGTAAAAAGCAACCATCTGACAATAAAATAAAATAGTTGAATATATTTATTTTCTTTCTGACCACATAAAAATATCCACAACATATTCATCATGATCATTACTAGATTACATGATTAACATTTTGTTAAGTATATTAAGTTTGAAAATAATTATTGATCAGATCAGGGGTTTATTGCGGATTCCAAACTAAGTGCCCTTGGCCAGCAGAGGGGGACAAAATCGTGATACTTTTCAAAACTGGATTATTTTAATGTTCTTATTTTCGTAATTTATGAGGAATTGGGAAATCTTTAATTCAAATTGAAAATTTGTTCTATCATTTGCTGCAGACTTGATTCTGAATATAAGCCTCTTAGTAGGTCTAGAAAAATCCTTGCAAATGCATTGTATGTGGACTCTGGTCATTGCCATCTGCAATTTCCTTAAGAACAACGCCTGCTCAAAATCTGATATGACATGGTACAAATACTAAACATTCTGCATTTTATGCTGTATTAGCAAATTTTTTTTTTAACTGCTCCAAATGACCCAAACAATGTCTCAATAAATGGGATTGAGGGGTCAGGTACGCTGACTTGGTTGATGCATGTCATTCTATCCCAATTGCGTGGATTGATGCTCATGAGGAATCAAACCCACCTAGGTTTCTGGCGTGTCTAAGATGTGTAATATCATTTTTCTATATTTCACCCGACTTCCATATGCATCAAACATGTTATACAGTGACACATACAGTATATTAGGCAAAGCTTTTTTGATTTTACAGTTCACTGATTTTTGTTAACCAATCAGCTTGGCTTTGTTCAGTGAGAATAGAATTTTGTGTAGCTCAGTATTTCTTTTGTTTTTATTTGAAAGACGTTGTTTGTTAACGCCACACTGGGCGATATTTCAGCTATATGACTGTGGTCTGTAAGTGATCAAACCTGGACCACACAATCCAGTGATTGACATCATGAGCATCGATCCACGCAATTGGGATGTGGTGACATGCATGAAACCAAGTCAGCGAACTTGACCACCCGATCCCGTTAGTTGCCTCTTGGTTAGTCACCTCTTGTGACAACCATGGGTTGCTGAAGACCTGTTATAACCCAGATCTTCATGGGTTCCGGTGGAGTGAGGGGCGGTCGGGTAGCCTGGTGGTTAAAGCGTTCGCTCGTCACGCCGAAGACCCGGGTTCGATTCCCGACATTGGTACAATGTTTGAAGCCCATTTCTGGTGTCCCCCGCCGTGATGTTGCTGGAATATTGCTAAAAGCGGCGTAAAACCATACTCACTCACTCACTCACTCACTCACTCACTCCAGTGGAGTAAGCAACACTTGATACGCAGTGAAGTGTATTCCTTGAAGGGGCAATTACTGATGTTCTGCCATAGCCATAATTAACTTCACTCCTGAAATAACAATCCATACTGGCTCTTACCTTGGTAGTTTTTAATTGTAACTCTGAATTATGTAATGGTAGAGCTTCAGTGTTTCAAATTTAAAAAAATAATAATTTGGATATCTTTTTATTTTTTATTAACCGCTATTGTCTAAATAAGTCTGTGTGCCTCAAGCAATAACAGGATATTTGTAAAGAGTGAAAATGATGTTTTTGTTTATTTTAAGAAATTTAAATTTGAGTGAGAAAAAACTTCTCAGATGACCAAAAGTTGATTAAGGTTTGTTTGAGACATCATAATTAGCACATTGATTTTGTTTCTGAGGGGTGGGTGGGTCGGGTAGCCTAGTGGTTAAAGCGTTCGCTCGTCACGCCGAAGACCCGGGTTCGATTCCCGTCATGGGTACAATGTGTGAAGCCCATTTCTGGTGTCCCCCGTCGTGATATTACTGGAATATTGCTAAAAGCGGCGTAAAACCATACTCTCACTCACTCACTCAGAAAACACAGTAGTCATTTTATATGTTTATTAGAAGAAGGGCTATCCTCCCAAAAGACCCTCTTCAATTAATGTTTTTAATGATCTTAAATGTTCCCCCTGAGTGCCATGTGTTTTATTGTTGTTCACCGATTCTGGCAAGCCCATACTCTCCTACACTAAATGACCATCAGGCCGCCAGAGATGTACTGGGGTAGATCACTACCACATATCTACTCAATAAGCCTTTCTACTGTCTTGTTTTGGTTGTTGCTATAGAAACTGGACATTGAAGCTATGTACATTTCTCATATTACCTGATTGGAGAGTGTGGTTTTATATTGTCATTGATTATTTCAATGTTGATGGTTGTTAGAAACGAGTCATTGATTATCTAATTGTTGGTGGGTTTTAGAAATGTTGTTGATTATCTCAATGTTGGTGAGCTGTTGGAGGTTAGAAACCTACAGCGATCTGCACACTTGGGTGGTTGTCATGATCATGAACATGTTGCTCGTGTATTGTATCATGTCTCACCTATTAGACACCTACTGTCTTCACACAGTATCTTCATTAAGGACTTGGAGGAACGTTAATGATGTCCTCATTTGATGTTTACTCATAAAGTCTGAGTTGGATATATATCAGCCATTCAAATTTGCAGTTAAGGGAGTGACCATTAAAACTACCGATATGAGCATAAATATCTTTTGAAAAAACAACTGGCAACAATGTAGTTTTTGTGGCAGACAATTTCTTTTATTCAACCATCTGAAGCGTAATTATATTTTCAAGCATTATCTGGGATAATTTTTGTTGATAAAATTCTCCTCAGAATATCAGGTGGCTTCCTTATTGCTTACCTCAGTCTAAGATTATGTCCACCCATTTGGTGACATGCATTAAAATGTGTTAAAATGTGTTTATCCAAAACCACTAATGTCCAGGTGTTGCAGTTTGTTTGCTATGAATCAAATACGAAAATTTAGAAAAAGGTTTTGGTTTTTTCCCCCAGAAAAATTAATTTAACTGCAAAAATAACCTAAACGAACGGATGCAATAAATCACATTGTCATATACAAGTAAAAGCTGAAAATATATAGAGGATAATTGCCATCCTTTGACTGATCAAGCTATTTTCACTCAGAAGTAGATTAGGCCACAGCTCACATTCATCACCAAAGAGCTTATTACCATCTTTGCTTGGACAAAAATGGCTTAATATAAATCTGTACTTATTTTTTTAATGTGTGATTTGATTGTTAAGTTACAGCAAGCACACTGCGGCCCTTCATTAGCACAAAGGCAAGGGGAGAGGCTCAGAGTAAACGACTAATTTGGAACAGTCATTGGTTTTCTTGACACTGGTTGTGATGGCCTCCTGATGGGGAATTAATTTTTCCTGACATTTTTGTTCTGTTGGGTGTCAATGCAGTTTTCTACGGTGGCCCATACCCGCCACTGGTGAGATCATTTTTCACTGTATGCCGCTATATTTTATCTGGCGGCCACCAGATACTTCCACTGGTGAAATCATTTTTCACTGTATGCCTCTATATGTTATCTGGCAGCCGCAAGATACTTCCATTGGTGAGATAAGATATAGAGGTTTACAGGGGAAAATGATCTCACCAGTGGAAGTGTCTGGGGGCCGCCAGAAAAGTATTTGGCGGCCGCCAGATAAAATATAGAGGCATACAGTGAAAAATGATCTCACCAGTGGCGGTTATGGGCCACCGTAGTTTTCTGTCTTTTATTTTCTGTAAATATGTTGATACTGGTGTTTTATATGTTGTTGACAAGTTATCTTGCAATAATGCCGCCCATGTAGAACTTGTTTGTGTTGTGAAACATTCTTAATTCATCATCAAATGATCGTATCAATGGAGCCCAATGCAAATGTGTGATACTAACTCATTCCATCCAATGTTGTGATTTATCTACATTGATTTACAAGTATTTACAAGCAATAAACGTGACTATGGAACTATTGCTTGTTTTGAATGAATCATTCTGATCTACAGAAGGTGGGAGAGACTGAGGATAACCCAACTGCATACAGCTATGTCCAAGTCGAAATGCCTGGGATAGTTCTGCAGTCAGCACATGCTTGTCAGCACTGTCTAAAGCAAGGATCTGGCATGGATTGTTGCTGATACTTTCAACCACTAGTTTGCCTGACCCTGACTCAATTTACAGGCTGGTGTTGACCTCCCAATAGACCAACATAGAGCCTCTGAAATATAGCTATCTCCAAGGTTATACGGCACCTCTGTGGATCTGCCCAGAGAGCGAGGATTGGGGATTTCATCCCTGCTGAGTCATACCAAAAGGTGGAAAAAGATGGTACTTGTTGCCACCCTGGAACACAAAAGTCATTTTCTTCTGCTGACACCAGTGTAAATGGGGGTAGAAATGGCAGGATCATTGAACACCAGTGATCACACCATGTGTTCGCGATGAGTTCGCGATGAGTTCGCGATGTCCAATAAGAATTGATTGAGGGACCCCAGCACTCATTAAACTTCACAGCAGTGACCTTCTGTTATCAGTTGTCACCATCTCATTAGCACGCGGGTGCATCACCTTTTTATACTGTATGGGAACTGGCTTGTGGGAGAACTTGGATATATTATAATTATTATTGAGGAATCACTCTCACCGGGAACAGTGGGGGCACATTAGGGGGTTGCACACATTAGACGTGTCAGGATCCTGTGATCGCGGGTTCCAATACAAGACACACCCAGGCTATACTCATTGAGTTGCCAGCATCATTCCCGTCCCTACAGGTGCTACCAAAGAGGCACACGTCTCCGACCTGACAAATAATGGGCATTCCTCATGCCAGAGGTACTGCTGTGTGGCATCAGGTCACATCCTCTGTCGTGGAAATGTGTGTGTGTGATACGATACGATACGATGGGGTAGACATGCTTACCCTTTTCGCGAACCCCTGGTGTCATTACTGATGTTTAACAATCCATTCATATAATTTTCACTGCTATTTTGTCTTTTACGTCCAATAGAATCTGTTTATCTGGTTAGTGTCTGACGTTGACATTTCCATGTTAAGCTGACACGCCGTGATATAACATTAATGCTTCTCACAGCAGCGTAGATCACCACTCACCCACTCACTCACAGATTCACCCTCACACCGCCTAACAAAGTGCAAGTAATGATTTATTCAGCTATTTATTAACTGCATTTGTTGTCAATACAAACAAGTGTTTCTTCTACTGCAGGCGTGATTAGCTCGGGGCCGACGGTATTCAAACACAAACATTATCTATAGGTAATGACAGACAACTGGTGATAGAAACAGGTTTATTCCACGCACTGAGAGGTGATAAACATATATATACTTCGTAAGGTAATCTTCTCAATGTGTGTAGGCCAGATGACGTTGTTAATACTTACCCACCCAACTACATGACGCATATATATTGAATGCTCGATAGATGTCGGCATTATGGATGGAGCATAATAGCAGCATATTCGCTTCACCATCACATGACCCTCTCGATGAACGACCTGTAAATGTCATACAGGTCGCTATCGGGAAATATATTACATTAGCATAAATTTGAAAATGATAAAAATACAAACGAACAATCAAAAATGCTAAATATTTGAATATACGTTAATATGTTTTCCCCACGTGCAAGAACAGGTATGATAAATAACGTTCATGGCTCTTACTCTGCAGGTAAAGAATTTAAAACGTAGTAGGCTCGGAGGTACCACCAAGTTGATTAGTATCGAGAAAACATATCTTGTTCTGGATCTAAAACACTTTTTGAGAATACTTTTCCACATTATAAACATTAGTACTATCTATAAAACGTTTCATGGTTTGGTCAAAATGTTCAAGAGTACCCTTAATCAACTCGCCTCGTTGCTTAAGGAGATGTGGACATGTGAAGCACTTCAATCACGTCTTGTTCCCTTAACTAACACAACGTTGCCATGTACAGCTGCAGGAATCATAAAAAGACATTTTACTTAAGCTTGACAATGTAACAATAATTTAAATAAGTATCCATGTTTAACAACGGGGTAAAGGAAAACAACTGCAATGGGGATTACTATACAAGCCATTTCGGTCACGAAACTGAACAAACGTTAGGGGATGAGTTCCTTTAAGTGTAAAAGTATATGGAAATATTTCATGATCCCTTATATGTTTTGGTCAGTATATGTTTGAAGAAGTACGTTAAACGTCATCCACGTTTATAACAAAAACAAATATGACATGCATGTTTATTTCATAGGCACGTTTTTCTACTAGAAGTAATAATGTCAGCTGTCAGAGAAATTGTAAATCTTGACAGAACCTAATTTGTTTTTCGAACATGACTCAAATGTGACAGCAGACCTGTAAAACAAGTAATTAAATTGGTCCAGACAAATATTTATAATTATATTACCAGACGCTTTTGTGTCAATCTCGTTGAAACCAGAACCTGGTGCTCGCGACCGCACCACAAAGATCCGAGGACAACCGTTATCGATCAAGTTAGAACGACATATATTTTTAAATGACTGACCGGAAGTCTACATCACCAATCAAAAAGCCCCTTCCTCGAGCTTAAAGCCATAGTTTCAAAATGGCGACTTCAACTCCAGACAACGCTATAGAAACTAACTTCCGTTTCAAATGGGTATCCCTTTCTTCACTTTCTCAATTTCGTAAGTGACTTTCTGATTGGATGAAAGGTTATTCTCACGTGACCTGTAATATGATGTCTTCAGATCTTTGTGTTGCGGTAGCGAGCACAAAGGTCTGATTTTAATCAGATTCCTTTTATTTAATGTTCTCTTACCGCATTGTCTACAGCCAGTAACTGTGGCCCAGCTGGCTAGAATACAACCACGAGGCACTGTAGCTGAACTGGCTAGAATACAGCCACGAGGCACTGTAGCTGAACTGGCTAGAATACAGCCACTAGGCACTGTAGCTGAACTGGCTAGAATATAGTCACCATGTACTGTAGCTGAACTAGCTAGAATACAGCCACTAGGCACTGTAGCTGAACTGGCTAGAATATAGTCACGAGGTACTGCAGCTGAACTGGCTAGAATACAGCCACTAGGCACTGTAGCTGAACTGGCTAGAATATAGTCACGAGGTACTGCAGCTGAACTGGCTAGAATACAGCCACTAGGCACTGTAGCTGAACTGGCTAGAATATAGTCACGAGGTACTGCAGCTGAACTGGCTAGAATACAGCCACTAGGCACTGTAGCTGAACTGGCTAGAATACAGCCACTAGGCACTGTAGCTGAACTGGCTAGAATATAGTCACCAGGTACTGCAGCTGAACTGGCTAGAATATAGTCACCATGTACTGTAGCTGAACTGGCTAGAATATAGTCACCATGTACTGCAGCTGAACTGGCTAGAATACAGCCACTAGGCACTGTAGCTCAACTGGCTAGAATACAGCCACTAGGCACTGTAGCTCAACTGGCTAGAATATAGTCACCATGTACTGTAGCTCAACTGGCTAGAATATAGCCACGAGGTACTGTAGCTCAACTGGCGTGAATACAGCCTCGAGGCGATGTAGCTCAGCTACTAAGTTTGCAATTTTATGAATATAAACATAAATGCTAAATTATAAGGTAATATGACATATAGAAGTGGTAACGTCACAGATATTTTCGTGCACTATGCCTGACACATTGGCATACGAATTGTTGCAATTACAATAGAAAATGGTCAAAGGTGAAAATTGTGTCGAATCAAACTACTCCGCAAAAACGTATTGAAGTACTGTCCTTTGCTGTCATCATTCATGGTTCGCTTTCATAGGCGGACAACGGACTATAGGTCACGTCGTTAGAGCTGAGAGAATAACAGCTGTCCTAAATTATATACAGGCAAAGCTTAGATCACTCGTCCGACATTCGTTACTGGTTTTACATGTATATGCTTTTGTTCGTTACACATCAGCTGCATATTTATATTTACTAGTGTTTATTCACTTGTGCGTGTATAATGCACATCACATACAAATACGACAGGGGCCGCTTGTTGGAGGTGAGGTGAGGTGAGGTGAGGTGAGGTGAGGTGAGGTGAGGTGAGGAGAAATGGGGTTTGACGTCGCGTTCCAGAATATTGCACTACGTGAATACACGTGTGTATGTGGCTGCTTGTATTAGTCTGGACTTACGACTGTTTTAGAGTGCTAACCCAAGAAGATACCATGCCGTAGCTCAGAGTTTAACATGGATACTACTCGGGCAGATACTGATTCCCAGCCGACCAGTTCTTGTTTTACTCCCCTAATACAGAGCACCAGGCAGGGTAACAGCACCACCAATATAAAGCGACCGCAGCGCCATTTTCTCTCCCCCCCCCCCCCCCCCCCCCCCCCTACGCACACACGCCCACCCAAAAAAAAAAGAAAAAAAAGGGCAAATACAGACAGGGTACAGCTTGCCGCCGGAGCTCTTCTCGGACATTGTTTTTGTTGTTGTTTAACGCCGTACTAAATGGCTATATTTCTGTAGAAATAATCAAGTCTGGATCAGACAATCTAGTGATTAATACCTTGAGTATCGATCCACGATGACTTGCATCAACCAAGTCAGCGAGCCTGACCACCTGGTCCCTTCAGTTGCCTCTTTCGACATTGTACGTTCTCTGTCATTTCTGTACTTAGTCATCTAACGTTTACACCATATCTGCAACAGTTGATAAGCTGATGCTGTGTAGACCAAAAAAACCCTCACTCACTCAACGTCCAGCTTCAGGAATCGCATACTCGACATGTGTAAATGCGATTGGGACAGTTGCGCCTAAGACAGGCACCCTGTCACATGACCAAGGTACCCCTGAAGATCCGGGGTGGAATAGGTCTTCAGCAACCAATGCTTGCCGCAAAAGGCGTCTATGCTTCTCGTAAGAGGCGACTAACGGGATCGGGTGGTCAGGCTCGCTGACTTGGTTGATGCATGTCATCGATCCCAACTGCGTAGATCGATGCTCATGAGATCAATCACTGGTCCAGACTCGGATTATTTACAGACCGCCGTCATGTAGCTTGAATATTCCTGAGTGCGGCGTTAAACAACATACAAACAAACAAACACTTGACCAAGGTCCTCAGTGCCATATATTTGCTGTTAGGGTACAATGAGGATCGGTTGGCTCCGTGTTACCTAGCTAATTCTGTATCGTCGTAGCCCGGCAGCCCGATAAGCACCATCTTCCCGAGTCAAGAGAGTTAACTGACTATCAAAGTCCAGTTTTCACCCTTGCCGAACTAGGCTGGTATTATGGATTTACATTTTGGCTGGACTAACGAGTCTATGCATAGTCCAATCAAAATCGCGTAACGAAATCGAAATCCGGTTCGTAAACTGTCGTGCAGATTTCGGTCGATTGCAGGATTTGCAAAGCATATGTACCGCCAACTCGTTGTCAACAGATATTTAAAAAATCGTTTAATGTTTTTAATCAAGGTGCTCAAGTGATTTGATGCACTTCGCGATGTAAGACCCGTTTTATAACAATACAGATCTTGTGTTTTGATCAGATCGTCTTGACTGGGGGCCGCCATTTTGTTTGAAGCAAATGCATGTGATACGAGAGGTGGAATTTGAATGGTTCATAGGAGAGGCTTAGAAGGGATATAACTCGTAATAACAACTGGTGGCGCTACGATCGAGCCCAGGATCGGCAAGGGTGGGAACTGGACTTTTAAGGTCAGTTAACTCTCATGCCTCGGGAAGATGGATAAGCACACGATATCGACATGGTATCAGCCTGGTCCGGATTCAAATATTTACAAACCACAAGGATATACACGTATAACTGGTTTTTGCGACATAAAACCATATTCACTAACTCACTCACTCCAAGACATCCGTAATACAATATCACCTAACGTGAATGGATGAAACACAATCAAATGTTTTTATGTCCAGTGTGTGAGCGTTGTGAAACGAGGAAATTGTTGCATCACTTGGGAACATGGTGTAGAGGCAATCTCACTGGCACTTCTGTTGTATCACGCTGCCATTTCTCAGTCTCAGCGTTGATAGTTCCATTACAGTTTAATCATTAAAATGCATTGCGTCTGAATTTGAAAACAACGTCAATTCATTTCCTGACTGGGATCTTGATTACAATACCAGTATTCATACATTCGATTTGCAGTTCCTTCTGAATCCGACGAATACTAGTATTGCGCATGCGTCAAGTTCAACATTATTAACTGTTTCCACCGATGAATCGCGTGGCAGCTAAGCGCTTATAGTCAGACAGGCGCCCAGTCCAGTCCACGTCATTGTTAGCGTCTTCCGGTTGCGTTCAAGCCCCGGATGAACGGAAGTTGTCAGTTTGTGGCTGTTCCGTCACATGGTTCGGTTCCCGACAGCAAAGACCGGCACAGTAACACCACTACAGGGTAACAGGATACTCATGGATCACTGGGCGCCATGGAGAAACCCAACCAGAAGTCCGACTACACTAGAGCAGAGTATAACAGCTGATATGGTGACCAAGGCGACGCATGTGCATTTTCTTCTTGAGGAACTTTCGTTGGAAGAAGTCTGAAAAATTAATGTTAAATAATCTGCGTGTGGGCTCAGTCGATTCGACATACAGGAAATACCTACTTGTCTTACTGACCCTTCACGATTGCATTTTTATCAGTTTAACAATGACATATCATACCTCCGGATAACTTTTTGAGCAACTGAGTTTTTAGTCGAAGGTTTCTATTTTAATTTGGTTATTACATTTTTCAGTGTGTAACCAATATTTTTTCACTCATCTATTCATCACTCTATTTGTTTTTTCAAAAATGTGTAAACATTTTGAGATTTAAAAAAATATGAACTAATGTTTTAGTTGTATATAACGGTTCTAAATATAGGCTTGACTCGGAAAGTGAATTAGCTGGTAATTGTGTTTCGGAAATTAGCTCCGTTGTACTAGGTTGAAAAAGCTTCATTGGGTATTTCAATAGTTTTTTCGTAGATAAAGCAAATACGCAGCTTATCTGTAGCTCTGCACTTATGCTTACAAAAATGGGCTCAATCATTGCGGTTGACCATCGAAGGCTAAACATTTCAATAAAAAATATCTGATAAACTCAGCTTGGTGTTCTATACTCTGGCCTATCAACACTTGTTAGTAAACCTCAATTCTTATGCCATAAACCGTCTATCCTATACCAGAAATCTCGAGTCCTGTACTGTGTACAGCATGTTTTATAGCACATATTTTCTCATCCATATGCCACATGTCATATGCAATAAACTGCCTGCCCTATACCATACATGTGTCCTATACTATATACGACATGTTCTTTTTACCACATTTTCTAAACCATATATAAAATGTCCTATGCCATAAACCGCCTGTCCTACACCATAAAACACTCGTCCTGTACTAAATACACGTTTTACCACGTTTTCTGAACCATATACCAAACGTCTGTCCGCCGTATGCCATGAACCATGTGTCCTATATCATATGGACCCGTGAAGATCCGGGATAGAACAGGTCTTCGGCAACTCATGCTTGCCGTAAATTTCGACGCTGCTTGTCGTTAGAGGCGACTAACGGGATCGGGTGGTCAGACTCGCTGACCTGGTTGATGCATGTAATCGTATCCCAATTGCATGGACCGATGCTCATGGTATCAATGACTGGATTGTCTGGTCTAGACTCGATTATTTACTGACCGCCGTCGTATAGCTGGAATATTGCTGAGTGTGGCGTTAAACATCAAACAAACAAACAAACAAAGTATACTATATTCCACGTGTTCTATACAAGATACCACGTGTCCTATACCACATATACCAAGTGTTGTATACCTACTGGCGATATCTCCACGCTGGACTCAGCATCACTGTTGGAACTGATAGACTTGCCACAATCTGTCAAATATAAGCCGGATGCGTATTTCAACAGAGGTATACATGTAAGTGTTTTACCAGCTAGTGTTGTACATGTACAACAACAGTGTAACGTTTTAGCGCTGACGATGTTGCATAGCTTATTGCATTTACCCTCAACGAAGAATACACACACAGGGTGAGAAGCTTAGCAACGCCGATGCAACCAACCCTGTCCCACAAAGGCCACCTTAGGATCGACCCCCCCCCCCCCCCCCCATCAAGAAATGTGGAATGAAATGAAAATGAAATCAGGGTATTTTTTTTCCGTCGACCGGATATAAATAAAATGTTAAATTACAACTCTTTCACTGTCGCTATCAACATAACAATAAATAATTCAAAGTACTATAATAACAACCGGTTGAAAATGCATCTTAACAACTTCAAAACACAACGAATAATGACGAAACGCTTGAGAAAATAGATTTTTTTTCTCGAATTGGAATTTTTATGTTTTATATTTTTCGACCAACCGACATGAATTTAAGGACCAAAATAACGTAAACCAAAACAAAAAGAAGGAAACAACGTCTGGCTTTATCGATACTACAACCTTAAAGTCAGCCCGTGAAGACCCGGGGTAGAATAGGTCTTCAGCAACCCATGCCGTAAAAGGCGACTATGCTTGTCGTAAGAGGCGACTTACTGGATCGGGTGGTCAGGCTCGCTGACTTGGTTGATGCATGTCAACGTATCCCAATTGCGTCGATCGATGCTCATGATGCCAATCACTGGATTGTCTGGCCCAAACTCGATTATTTATACAGATCGCCGTCATATAGCTGGAATATTGCTGAGTGCGGCGTTAAACAACAAACAAACAAACACACAAAACAAAAGAAACTGTAAGATGATGGCGACATCAGTACAGTTGGGTGAAGGATACAGCAAACTACGTTTATAACGAACACGCTTATAACGAAGTGACCGATATAGCGAACTAATGTTTTAGTCCCGAGCATTTGTTAAAAAATGCTGTATATATGCTTATAACGAACTACGGTTATTAAGAACTAAATTTAGTGGTCCCTTTGAGTTCGTTATAACCGTAGTTTACTGTATTTATCATAACAGAATTGAGACATAACACACTAGATATTGGGGTGCAGCACAACACTGACGAGACTGTCATGGCTAAATGTGCATTTGATAGTCTAGACGAATAATTATTATATTTAAAGTCAACGTGTAAGGTGCTAATTCACAGAAAGTGTAATTGAAGTCGAGGATCACGTGATCTAGTGAAACAATCAATCTTTATTAAGGACAACATGGTCTATTCGGAGCTGATATGTGATAACCTCAGTCCAGGCCTCAGACTTGGGTGACATACTATTTATATACACCCAGAGAGTCGCCTTGCTTCACAATGGTAGAAATCAATGTGCCTTTTTGATAAAGACGAACGATACAGTTAATTACTCAGCTCATTCTAACAAGGAAATCAGAACAGAGGCTTTGCCCAGAGTCATTGAATCAGAATATCTTCCAGGATCACTCCGAGATACTTAACTTTAAAGGGACATGACTATACTGCGATGTGAAATTACTCAAATCTAAATGAAACGCACAGGTTACAATCGACATGTAACGCGCTCTGGACTGTTAGAGTTATGTTCTAAATCCTAAAATCTGTGATACCAACAGGTCATTAAGATAAAAACATTTATCTGTTCTTTCCAATATTCCACATATACCAGACAAACCACTGATTGATATAATGACCATCATCTCACGCCGTCGGGGTATGGCGACACGTCACATAGCCTGATCCCCCGATACATTTACCCGCCTCTTACGGTTAGCATCGGTTGCTGGGGGGCCTATTCTAACCCGTCTATAACCAATTAAAACTAAAAAAGAGTTGTCAATAAATTGTTGAAATATAACTTTGTAAAGTTAAACGAATCGTTGTATTTTATCTCACCCACAATGGCTACTCAAGAGTAGAGCATTGCCTCCTTAATATGTCATAGTGTTAAAAATATATATTAACAATCTTGCCAAAAAACAAGGAACAGCATTTCCCCGCTAATCTGTTTTCAGTTGAAGACAAGGATTGGGTGGTCAGGCTCACTGACTTGGTTGATGCATGTCATCGTATTACAACTGCGTGGATCGATGTTCATGATGTCAATCACTTATCCTTGTCTTAACCAGACTCGATTATATGCAGACTGAATATTGCTGGGTGCAACACTGAAAACCATCGATAATAATTATGCAGATCAGATTGGCTTCTCACCGAAGTTCTCCGTGGAAATCTCCGGTTCGATGTCCCAGGGCTGAATGTCCATCGTCTGGCTGACCGTGTACACTACCTCATGGATGTCACAGGCCGCTCTGCAAGAAGACACACCTGGTCATCAGATTGGCAAGAACAGATACAGTGCAATAGCATACTGTTGTGAACTGAATTCAATCCTCGATCACACCAATAGAATATTCTGGAAACAAGCATTATATAATTGATCAAACATTTGGATTTAATGCCGCTTTAATCGATACTTTAGCCATATAACAAAGTTCAGTGTAGGTCTCCTACAGAGGGTAGGACAAAGTACAGTAGGTCATAATGTTGTAAGGCTACTACATAAGGTCAAAGTGTAGCAGGTCACAGGACAAAGTACAGTAGGTCATAATGTTGTAAGGCTACTACAGAAGGTCAAAGTGCAGCAGGTCATAGGACAAAGTACAGTAGGTCATAATGTTGTAAGGCTACTACAGAAGGTCAAAGTGCAGCAGGTCAAAGGACAAAGTGCAGTAGGTCATAATGTTGTAGTGCTACTACAGAAGGTCAAAGTGCAGCAGGTCAAAGGACAAAGTGCAGCAGGTCATAACGTTGTAAGGCTACTACAGAAGGTCAAAGTGCAGCAGGTCAAAGGGCAAAGTGCAGTAGGTCATAACGTTGTAGTGCTACTACAGAAGGTCAAAGTGCAGCAGGTCATAGGACAAAGTGTAGCAGGTCATAACGTTGTAAGGCTACTACAGAAGGTCAAAGTGCAGCAGGTCAAAGGACAAAGGGCAGTAAGTCATAACGTTGTAGTGCTACTACAGAAGGTCAAAGTGCAGCAGGTCATAGGACAAAGTGCAGCAAATCATAATGTTGTAGTACTACTACAGAAGGTCAAAGTGCAGCAGGTCAAAGGACAAAGTGCAGCAAATCATAATTTTGTAGTACTACTACAGAAGGTCAAAGTGCAGCAGGTCAAAGGACAAAGTGCAACAGGTCATAATGTTGAAGTGCTACTACAGAAGGTCAAAGTACAAAAGGTCAAAACCAAGTAGATCCAAAATGAACCAAGTTAAAGTGTAGCAGATGCAAAAGGTAGGTCAGGGTGAACCAAATCAAAGATGTTTAAGAAGTTTCATGGAAATAACCATCATGGATCAATGGATAATGGTTTATGTCCATCACCCTCCATGCTTACGTACCTCTCAAGGCGGAGTAGTTCCTCTTTTTCCATGAAGCTCTTGTCTGTTGTGGGCGTGTCCAACTGTTCCACTGCCAGACACGCCTTATATGGTATGACAGGTTCACATATACCCGTGTTAATCATCACTCTTATACCTGCAGTGTCAACGTGGTTCTTTCAACATAGCGAATATAAAATAGAACAAGTTTTATCATGCCTTTGCCTCACATGGCGAGAAGATGTACGGCGGTAAACAACACACAAACAAAACATGACGAGATATTTTCCATATACTTAAATCTGAATACAACCGGCTTGTTTGTATCTATAAGTATCCTAAGTCACTGATACAGGATTTACATATTTCAACTTCCGACTTTAACATAGAATGTCTATCAGATTTGGCATCGTATTGCCAACGTGGAGATTTAGTATCTTGTCTTTGTGTCTTCAGGGCGACAGGCATTACTTTCTTTTCAGCCATGTGTTGCTGAGGTCCTACAGCCATGTCGACACATCCTTACCTCTCCGAAATAGATGTTTTCAATGTCTCAACTGTAGAAGTTGTTATTTTATTATGTTTTATATAAGACAAGTTGTTTTCAACACTTTGCATTTTGACCACTCGTCACATGGAATGACGCAAATGTTTACAAATGGCGTCCTTTCATTCGTCACTATTCGCCCCTTCTCGATCCGGCAGGTCGTTCGGCTTATCCCGAAATGACACGATTGGTCACGAAGGACTTTGTCGCAGGAAGTGACGAGTATGACAGTATAACAGACCTGTCATTAACTTAATGGCGTACGCCTTGCTCTGTCAACAGACCGCTAATTGCCTTCTCACGCTCAGGAACCCGTTAATATCCTGGTAGAATAATGAGCACACATGATGCCCGATATGAGTGATGTATAAATACCATTTCACTGAATTCTAATAATCGTCAATTATAAACGCTAACAACTCGACTAAGTAAATGTCATCCAACGCATATAACAAAAAATGAATAAAATGGAGTTTGCTACCATCAACAGCAGGCATATTTTGAAATGTAATCGTTCCTTTAAAGGACTGGTGGAGCAATCGTTTTATCGCCACAATTCGCATTTCGCTGTGGGGTCAAGGATCAGGTGGTTCCTCATTCTCCCCGTCTATCTTGTTTGACCTGTCGGTACCATACCCCTGAACACTGGTGGCCGACTCATTTGTTACAAATCAGCTGAATATTTTCATTTACTGTTGTATATTCACTTGTGCGTGGACACTGCACATCACATACAAATACGACAGGGACCGCTTGTTGGAGGTGAGGTGAAATGGGGTTTAACGTCCCGTTCAAGATTATTGCACTTTTATAGCGACGTGCATGTACGTGTGTTTGTGGGTGCTTGTACTATTCCGGACTGATGCCGATTTATAGTGCTAGCCCACTGAGATACCATGCCGCAGTTTAACATGAATACTCTACTCAGACACAGTATACTGACTCCGAGCCGACCAGTCCTTGTTTTAGCCCCTTAATGCCGAGCGCAGGACAGGAAAACAACAAGTACCAACTTTTAACGTATTTTGATATGACGCGACCAGGGATCGAACCCCGGACAGTTCGCTCTCCGGGCGGACGCTCTACCGCTAGACCACGGAGGCAGTCTTGGTCATATGTGAACGTTTCTTGTTATGTCATTTCAGTGTAGCAAAGCTGTTTCTCTATTGATACAATTAACGACACGCGGTGCATATCCACATGTACGATATAAGAGGAAGTGACAACATCGTGGCAATGGCTATATACAAGTCTGCATTAAACAAACACAAGAAACACAAGAAACACTATTTACCAGGTGGTGCCCCGGGGCACCTAGTCTAACTAAGGCTAAGAGTGATACCTATTTCTCTCTCTGCCCTCTAACTCAATCTGGCCCAAAGCTTATATAGTCAATGTCACTTGACACCAATTAAGTCATATTCATAAACAACAGTAATTAATAAGGTGGTGGGTGAGTTTGGTTTAACGCCGCTTTTAACATCATTCCAGTTATATCACAGCGTGTCAGCTTAATGTGGGAGGAAAGCACGAAGTAATGCAGGTCTCAGACATTTACCACTTCGGTGAAACCCACGAGCACGGGTATGGTGCTGACAAACCTAGAAACATAATCGGGGCGAATCGGGATTCGAACCCACAATCATAGGTTTCCGGCGTACCCAAGGGACGCAACTCTGCACAGGGAATCGCGGCGCCTTAGACGACTGGGCCACCCGTGCCCCCGTAATTAATAAGGAGGGACACAGTTGCTATGCTCGTTCAGAGGGACTGACAGTAAATGATTTTCAGTGATCCATTTAAAAAAAAATCACCGCTATTTTTCATCTACGATTTTGGAATCTGTTTCAAAACAGATTGATTTAGATGATCTCATTTCTGTTGTCATGATAGATTTAGATGATCTCATTTCTGTTGCCATGATAGATTTAAATGATCTCATTTCTGTTGCTATGATAGATATAGATGATCTCATTTCTGTTGCCATGATAGATTTAAATGATCTGCGCATTTGATTAGCTAGACTACAATAAAACTTCAAACACCAAATATGACGATCTGACCAGGTCATTTTAAACTGCCTTAATGCAGTAGAATCCGACCGCTTCCCTTTCAAATGGGGAGATGACAGCAATTTGCAGTAGCATCCTTCTTACACCATGATTCCACGTTTGTAAACCCTGTGCAATGCATCGTGGACAGGCGGGCCAGTTCTGTACATGATTATACAGTAAACTCCGGTTATAACGAACACGCTTATAACGAACTGACGGATATAACGAACTTACTTTTTAGTCCCCACTATTTGCTGTAGTTATGCTGTATATATGCTTATAACGAACTATGGTTATAACGAACTAAAAATAGTAGTCCCCTTGAGTTCGTTATAACCGTAGTTAACTGTATATTAATAACACTGTATGCTATCACTTGGGTCGTTAGTGTATTAGCATACGTATTGGAAGAATTAATGAGCCAAAGCTCAAAGATCATATACTGATGTGATATAAACATATGTATTTCCATAAAGTGGAGGGATTGGCAAACAAGCAAATGTTGCTTAACTGAATGCCTCTCCCAATATACTGATGTATGTGGGTGTATGAATAATTATATCCATACAGAACGAAGTGAGCAGCGGGAATGGCGAGTGTGAAAGCGTGATCTGGGTCCAGTGTTCCACAATATTTCAGTTTATATCAGGGAAGACTTCTCTATTGACTGTCAGATAGTCTCATATTTTGGTATACTAAAGATTCCATAATTATTTTCAAAATGTCTATGGCCATGTCTAGAATTGGCCACTCCAACAGTCTTCGCCAGTGCATCTTATACCGGACTAGCTGGTCACACCAGCAAGAATAGTCTCACTTCGTCAAAAACATGATCATATTTCTCCTACACTCCACGACCTACACTGACTTCCTGTGCATCAAGGAATCTTTTCAAAGTCTGTGTTTTGCATACAAGTGCATGTCTGGCGATGGTTCTTTATATATTTGTATGATGTTGTGAGCTTCTACATCCCACGTATATCACTTTGATCGGAATCACATCTATTGCACATTCAATAAGCCCAAACTGTCATTTTTCGTCATCATCCTTCTCGTTTGCTTCAGCAAATGAATGGAACAGTTTTTCCCCTCAACTTCGCAACCTGGAAACTGTCTCTTGGTTCTGTGTAGATGTTATCGATGTAAATAATCGAGTCTGGACCAGACAATCCAGTAACTGATACCATGAGCATCGATCTAGGCCATTGGGATTCGATGACATGCATCAACCAAGTCAAAGAGCCTGACTACCTGATCCCGTTAGTCTTCTTACGACAAGCATAGTAGTCTTTCATGGCAAGCGTGTGTTGCTGAAGACCTTTTCTTCCCCGGATCTTCACGGTTCCGGTTGATACCGAGGTAGGCACTGTATCTGATGCACGTTTGAGTGGTTCGCGGTCTACTTCTCTATACGCTATCGAATGTAAATGTGACAATGAAACATAAGTGCCCGAAGCATTGATTCAATACAGCGTTCCTATATTGATATACTTAAGCAGTTCCGTCAGGAAATAACGAATTGTGAACTTTCACTCAGAGCACCTACTTTTAATTATAACTCAAACAGAACATCCATCAAGACACTGTTAATAGCAAATCTCTACGCAACTCGTATTAAGTTTCGTCCCGACGAAGGGTCGATGCTTTCCTAATTAATACACTGTTTGTTCTTTAAGATAAAAAGAGTCCCACTAACAGGATGAAACACGTAATGGATTATGGACTAACAGTGTCAAGGATCCCTTGCATCTCTTTGATTACTTAATCATCTCCTGCTATGACTACACTGAGATGACCGTTCACTACGTCGACAATACAGCGCTGCCATGGTAATCAGGATACGGTCAAGGAAGAAATCATTATCCTTTATCGGCAGGAATATCAGTGAAAGTGACATTTTCTCCGTGAATCATGCCTTCGGATTAGCTCAGTTGTGGACAGTTTTCCAATTAAAACATCTATTATCATATGCGGCCCGTGTGCATTCTGAGAAAGAATAGACATATTTGTTTGTTGTATAAAGACATGTTTGTTTGTTGTTTAGCGCTATGAGCATCCACTTGGTGAATGGAATCTGGCGCATTATAAATGCACTTATTATTATCATTTACAGATTAAAATTTAAAAAAATGCAGCAAAGAGGGTTTGGGTGATCCTGGCCCAGTCAGGATGGTTAGACTCATCATCAGCTCAGGGCCCTTGCCCCCTCTACACACAGCCCAGACAGTGAATGGGACTTCTCTCAGGAAGCGCTGCCTAGTCAAACCCACCCAGAACTTTTCGGAGAATGTGAAGACAGCCCAACACTGCAGCCTTTTGCATTACCCAGATTGTCAGATGGGCTGTATTCCTGGTAGCAAATCTGGGTACTCTCCCAGTGTCAGTCAACAGATTGGGAGGTACCAAACCTAAGGCACCGAGGGCAATGGGGAGTCGGACAACTTGGTACTTTGGATGCAAGCATGACATTTCGAAAGCGAGGTCTGCATATTTGCCATGTTTTTCCTCAATCTTGACAATCACATTATTGTCAAAAGGGATAGAAAATTCAATGATATAAATGATTTCATTGGATTTATCAAAAGGACAAGATCGGGTTTATTGGCCTGAATATGTCTGAGGCTGTAAATGGGCCTATTCCAAAGAATTTTGTATTTATCATTTTCCATGACGCCCTCTACATATTCAGGGTCGTACCATGGGTGGACCTCTGTGTCAAAACCATAAGCATGGCGAAGACGGAAATAAAATGATCGAGCTACACCATCATGTCGTTTAAGATACTGTGTTTGTGCCAAAGCTTGACATGCACTGACAATGTGTTGGGCAGTCTCATTAAATTAATTACATAATGTACATTTCATATTTACATTTTGATGCAAAATCACACATTGCCGGTGTCGAGTGGGAAGTGATTGTTCCTGAGCAGCCAACAGAAAGCCTTCTGTTTCACTTTTCAGGCCAGACGACTTCATCCAAGCGAAGGACTCTGCAGGATTGCTGATCTTCTCAACACACTGCACATAAACTCGATGCAGTGGCCGTTCAGATAGCCTCTCCTTTAAGAACTGAGTCTGGGCAGACTTGATATGGCACTTCGCTTGGTTGACACTCATATTATTATTGTTATTATTATTATTATTATTATTGCCACACTCAGCAATATTGAAGCTATATGGCAGCGGTCCGTAAATAATCGAGCCTGACCACCCGATCCCGTTAGTCGCCTCTTTTGTCAAGGATAGTAAGGAAGGAGGAGAAGGAGGGATGGCATCGATAAGACACTCCGGTTTTGTCCATTGTGCAAGTTAAGGGCAGTTGAAAATGAAATTCACTTCATTCTTGTTTGCCCTATTTATGAAGATATTCGCTCAAAATATTTCCCATATTTAGACTTCATTACTGGTAATAATCGTAAAGACACACTGGTTAGAATGTTAAACTCTTCTGATGTAAACCGCCTTGAGAACTTAGCCAATTATGTTAAAAATGCTATCTGTCTTCGTTCTTCTTACCTGTAAATATTATTTCATGCAGCACTTGATGTGAAACTAATTTGTATATATATGTACGTGGGCCTGAGGCCTTATTACCGAATAAACTGATTGATTGATAGTCGATTTTTACGGCAAGCATGGGTGACTGAAGACCTATTCTACCCCGGATCTTCACGGGTATAACATGTAGGTCCCCAGCACCCTATGCTTGTCGTATGAGGCGACTAAATGGATCGGTGGTTAGGTTTGGTGACTAGGCTGACCGCCATGATATTGCTGGACTATTGCTGAGGGTGGCCCGGTCATCAAAATCGTCACAATTCGGCCCTTGTGTCCTGGCCACGGATTCAGGACAACCTTTGGTCACATGAACAGGCAACTAACGGGATCGGGTGGTCAGGCTCGCTGACTTGGTTGATGCATGGCATCGATCCCAATAGCGAAGATGATGGTTGTAATGTCAATCACTGGATTGTTTGGTCCAGTCTCGATTGTTTACAGGCCGCTGTTGTGTAGCTGGAATGTTGCTGAGTGCGGCGTTTAACAACAAACAAAGAAACTAAACAACAATTTCCGTGTTGGTGTAAACGTCTAGGACTTGCAACACAGGGCGTTTCTCTCACGAGAAGCTAAGACACGCCATGATACACCCGACATACTGTTATTCAGACCCTCTCACTCAGTAGTGCTGACTGTGGCGTAAACATAACATATACGCACAAACTATCCAGAACCACTAAAAGAAACGCGAATACGATACATGTTGGTTTATATGTGAAAACGCACAAACGAACACACTGGTATGCTGTGGGACGCTCATGAACGCCTCACATGTGACGTCATAGATCCATGACTCGAGATGCATTTGTCTCGTGCAGTATTAGCGTGTATAGTTTGGAAATCACGTGCAGCATATCGTGATAAGAATAAAGACACTCTTTGGTAACACTTGACTGTCATTAATTGGTACATTTTGGAAACATCTCTTCTTAACGTACATACTTATCTATATGTTTCTATGATTCGCGTTTCTTTTGGCGGTGAGTATATATACGTCTTATACGTCTGTTTGCATGTTTGTATTCATTGGACGGAAAGTACAAGTGCAAAAAATGACTTAGCCTGGTAAACATTAAGACCACAGGAGCACTAAATACCTGAGTATAGCGGGAACGTTCGCTGTAGTGACGCCATCTTGAGGAGCTGGGTCTCCAACAGCTCCAGACACCCCGAGTAGAGCCGGTACAGCCGCTCTAGGTCCCCCTGTTCCTCCTGACGCTGCATCTTGCTGCAGCAACAAAAAAACATCCTCAATATTACTCACAGGCGGATCCAGAAGTATGCAGGGTGAGCACCCTCTCTTTTGGAGACAAGGTTAACATGCTTGTATTTGTAAGATTTGTGGTGAGGTGAAATGCGGTTTAACGTCGCCTTCAAAATTATTGCAGTTACATTGTGCGCGTGTGTGTGTGGTGTGGTGTGGTGTGCGTGCGTGCGTGCGTGCGTGCGTGCGTGTGCATGTGCTTGTGTGTGTGTTTGAAGTCCCCGCCTTGCATCATAACCCTGGTGGCATTTATCAGTTATATTTATATCAACTACAAAAGAAATGTTTGGGCCTAGACATTACATTCTCTTCGCCCTTGTACTCAAGACGTGGTTCAAAGTTAACATATCGTTTTGGGTTTCAATAAACTCAGTAAATTCGCTGTCGTGTCACTGAGTTGTCTGGTCAATCACTTGATTGTCTCCTCAAGACTCGATGGTTTATAGGCCGCCGTCGCATGGCAGTACTACGGCAGTGCGGCGTCAGGTACCAAACACTAAGTAAACTTATTTTATGCAAGTCGTGGGAGAGGCGGGTACTACCGGAAGGGCTGGAGATGCTTACTCTATGTTGCCTTTTACGCCCAATGGATTCGGCGGACAATCAAGTATAATTATTGCCTGGCGTTGAAGTTTTATATCCTAGTTTATTTATAGAGGTAGCTCACTGAGATACCATGTCGTAGTTTAACATAGATACTCCACGCCGACACTTTATACTCTCTTGGTTTTATGGCCTAAATGTCATGCAGGGTAACAACATCTTTTTATGTCTTTTCGTATGTCGAACCACCGACATCCCGCTCTGAGGGCAGACGCTCTATCCACTAGACCACGGCGTCGGTCCTTTTGTGGGTGATATGAAAAGTGTAAAAATATTACAAACACTTGGTGAAATGAAACATATCACGAATACCAAACGCAAATTGCTTTCCAGATTTGTTTACTTTTCTATATTAAGTTACTTTGTGATAACAAAATGCACGTGTCCTTTTCCCAAAAGCTGTAGCCAAGCTCGAGTGTACTTCGCGGAGTCAACACAACACTGCATGGTTGTATTTATGGCGTTTTTTCTGAATAAATAACACTACAAGTACTAACTAAGCGCCGTGAGGGATTAGAGCAGTCAAGACTAGACCCGTGAAGCAGTGACGAGGTCTAACAGTCAGGACTAGACCCGTGAAGCAGTGAGGACGTCTAACAGTCAAGACTAGCCCCGTGAAGCAGTGACGAGGTCTAACAGTCAGGACTAGACCCGTGAAGCAGTGACGAGGTCTAACAGTCAAGACTAGCCCCGTGAAGCAGTGACGAGGTCTAACAGTCAGGACTAGACCCGTGAAGCAGTGAGGACGTCTAACAGTCAGGACTAGCCCGTGGGGCAGTAACAAGGTCTAAAGTCGAGACAAGACCCGTGAAGCAGTGAGGGCGTCTAACAGTCAGGACTAGACCCGTGAAGAAGTGAGGGCGTCTAACAGTCAAGACTAGCCCCGCGAAGCAGTGACGAGGTCTAACAGTCAAGACAAGACCCGTGAAGCAGTGACGAGGTCTAACGGTCAGGACTAGACCCGTGAAACAATGAGGGCGTCTAACAGTCAGGACTAGCCCCGTGAGGCAGTGACGAGGTCTAAAGACGAAACTAGACCCGTGAAGCAGTGACGAGGTCTAACAGTCAGGACTAGACCCGTGAAACAATGAGGGCGTCTAACAGTCAGGACTAGACCCGTGAGGCAGTGACGAGGTCTAAAGACTAAACTAGACCCGTGAAGCAGTGAGCGCGTCTAACAGTCAGGCCTAGAGCAATGAAGTTGGAGACTAACAGGGCAGGGTCTTGCTTTGACTTAGAAAATTGAGGAAACAATATGTGAAATTCTTCATTGATAATATTCATGTGAAGCAAGCACCAACCGCGTCCCCTTCTTGCGGATCTGTTTCTTTATGCATTTTAATCGGAGTTCCGGTTCGGATTGGCAAGTATCAAAAGAAGGGAATGTGGCCAAGAAGAGTAACTTAAGCTTCAGGTATATCGATGATTTGATATCGTTCAATAACATTCAAGTTACCCATTCCTATCTACTGAAGTACCCGCTGAACTAAAAATATCAGAGACCATTGACACTGCCTCATCTGTTTCATATAAAGATCTATACGTAGTGACTCAGTGTCAAAAATCTCTCAACACGACTGTATGACAAGGGGATAACTTCAACTTTCAAATAGTCATGCTCTTTCTGCGATGATTTCAAAAAGCGTCGCATGACTCTGGCTCAAGGTTACAATATATAAGGCCTCAGAAAAGCCTTCAAAAGGTTCATGGTAGACGAAGGGTGAACAATCCCAATTATGCAATTCCCTATTTGACAATCCCCATATGTTCCCGTGTGTTTTCGAGTGAACAATTGCCTGACCTTTGCATGTGTTTGTGGTGGGTGTCAACTGTGGAGCAGGATACGCTCACCTTTTCACGAACACCTGATTTCATCACTATTTAACAGTGATTCAAAACATATGCTCATGATAAAGTCATCGTACATTAGAAATTTCTTATGATTGAAAAATGTGTTTTTGTCGTATGTATGTAGCCTGGTCTTGACTGATCCCTTAATGCCAGTGTTAATACTCATCTACAACTTACCTTCTTAACAGCGGTATTAGTTTTGACTTAATTTGGTGCGCTAGATCACATGCTCTCAGCCGACTGCTTTTCAGTTCTTCTCGCAATTTCTCTGAATCGTTAGTTCCCCCGAGACCGACGGCGAGAGTACAGTAAAGGGCCACCTCTTTGTTGAACGCAGCAACCAGCTGCATGAGAAAGATAATTGAGTGAGTGAGTGGGTGGAGTTTACGGTGCTTGTGTAAGCAGTGTGTCAATTTGAAAATAACAAGGGGCACGGAGGACCACATTCACAAATACTGCATACGGTTTAATAACCGGAACAATACTGCGCCATCATAAAAGAACACAGCCGTACTGTAAGTTGGATTTAACGCTGGATTTAACAGTATTTAAGTTATACCAGGGTGTGTCAGCTTGATGCTGGACGGACAAAAGAAGTAATGTAGGTGTTAGACGTTTACCACTTTGGTGAAACCCATGGGTATAGTGCTGACATACCTAGAATCATAATCGGGGCAACCGGGATTCAAACCCACGACCATGGCATGCGTAAGGGACGCAACTCTGCAAAGTAATTGCGGCGCCTTAGACGATTTGGTCATTCGTGTCCATTATGAGGAAATGAAGAATATATGTTTTTACTTTGATGTTCAAGCATGGGTTACACAAAACAGCATTTCGCATCAGAGAAGAAACATAAGTTCAATCACATTTCATTGAAAGGTTATTACCATATTGTTGTAGCTTGCTTTCCACTAGCGTACAAGAGAACTTGATTGATGTGATTCTCAATGTACAGTATACAGTTTTACCACATATTTCTTTTCTTTTTCATACATACATACATACATACATACATACATACATACATACATACATACATACATACATACATACATACATACATACATACATACACACACACACACACACACACATACATACATACATGCATGCTATTAGCCTTTGTTTACCTTTTGCTGTCATCATACGGTTTTAATTTATATTTTACTTACTCATTTAACTTCTTTTATCTGTTATAACAATACTTCCATAAATCTTTGTCGTAAACTATATCTAATCCTCATAGTTTGTGATAAAATATTGTCAGGTGTTTCATACGGTATTGCCCTATTGGGTGCTCAAACCAATCCAACCTGACCCCGTTCACGAAATGAAGCTGTGAAGCTCAGAGTGAGTGAGTATGGTTTTACGCGTCTTTTAGCAATATTCCAGCAATATCTCGGCGGGGGACACCAGAAATGGGCTTCAGACATTGTACCCATGTCGGGAATCGAACCCGGGTCTTCGGCGTGACGAGAGAACGCTTTAACCACTAGGCTACCCGACCGCCCCGAAGCTGTTCAGAAGTGGAGTTAAACACCCAAAGGACTGACTATACTCGTAACGGGCAATATCGATCTGTTTGTGTGGCCCTGTTGAGAGAGGAAATGAAACCTAAATATGGGTTTTAACAAGAAAAAACCATGGCAACAAGAACGGAAGTGTTTTTTTTAATTAGATTAATGTAGACGTATGAGACAACTGAATTGCTTCCCTTTCGGTGAAGTGATGTTCTTAAATTACCGTGGTTGCTGTTGAAAACGTCGATATACATAAAAAGGAGCATCGCTCCGCACATTTGATTCTTTTGTCAGCATTGTGTATTTTGTTAGTCTGGACAGGAACTGCCCAGTCCGGATTAAGGGCTTTCACTATTTAGTCATCAGCCTACACTGTAAACACGTGGATGTTAAAATTAGAAGCTGGTATAAAAAAACTCTCTAATTGTCCCGAATAGAACGGGTAAAATTAAAATCTTAAAATAATACTATATAATACGATTTATCATCCGTATTCAATCAGTGTATGAAAAAGGCACTATCTTACACGCTTTATTATTCGTTTTGAATCAGTATATCAAACCTACACTATCTAACACGTTTTATCACACGTATTCAATCATTGTACAAAAACAACACCATCCAACACGTTTTATCATCCGTATTCAATCAGTGTATAAATACAACACAATCTAACACATTATATCATCCGCATTCAATCAGTGTATGAAAACAATACCATCCAACACATTTTGTCATCCGTATTCAATCAGTGTATGAAAACTGCACTATCTAACACATTATATCATCCGCATTCAATCAGTGTATGAAAACAATACCATCTAACACATTTTGTCATCCGTATTCAATCATTGTATAAAAACAACACTATCTAACAGGTTTTATCATCCGTTTTCAATCAGCGTACAAAAACAACACTATCTAACATTCTTTATCATCCGTTTAAATCAGTGTATGAAAACACACTATCTAACAGGCTTTAACGTCCGTATCCAATCAGTGTATGAAAACACACTATCTAACACGCTTTATCATCCGTTTAAATCAGTGTATAAAAACAGCACTATCTAACACATTTCATCATCCGTATTCAATCAGTGTTTGAAAACAATACTATCTAACACGATTTATCATCCGTATTCAATCAGTGTTTGAAATTAATACTATCTAACACGCTTTATCATCCGTATTCAATCAGTGTACAAATCGACCCTATCTAACACGGTTCATCAGTCGTTTCTATCAATGTTAACTACCCTGGGAGTTGAGAAGTAAATTGAGCGTAACATTTTGTCCTGGAGAACATATCCAGGTGTATGAGACATTGCATTATATCACATTATATCCTCGCATTAGGGATAACACGTGCCAAATAAATAATTCATTGTGCTCTACATGTATTCATGTCTAACTGTTAGAAATGCACATAATCAATGGATTGTTGTGACCGCAATGTGCTACAATAGGCTAATATAAGATTATATACCTAGATTGTATTCAAATGCTGGTTGTGCTGCACACTGTAACAGAACAGAACAGAACAGAACAGAACAGATATTTATTCATGAAAAAGACTTGGGTTTCTGCCCCTCGTCTAACAGATAAAACAAAAATATATATTGACAATGGAGGTAGGACACGATTTCATATTTAACAATGTGAGACTAAGAACGTGCTTGTGTTGTACACTGTAACAATTTGAGACTGACAGAACGTGTTTGTGTTGTACACTGTAACAATTTGAGACTAACAGAACGTGCTTGTGTTGTACACTGTAACAGTATGAGACTGACAGAATGTGCTTGTGTTGTACACTGTAACAATGTAAGACTGACAGAACGTGCTTGTGTTGTACACTGTAACAATGTGAGACTGACAGAATGTGCTTGTGTTGTACACTGTAACAGTAGGAGACTGACAGAATGTGCTTGTGTTGTACACTGTAACAATGTAAGACTGACAGAACGTGCTTGTGTTGTACACTGTAACAGTATGAGACTGACAGAATGTGCTTGTGTTGTACACTGTAACAATGTAAGACTGACAGAACGTGCTTGTGTTGTACACTGTAACAGTATGAGACTGACAGAATGTGCTTGTGTTGTACACTGTAACAATGTAAGACTGACAGAACGTGCTTGTGTTGTACACTGTAACAATTTGAGACTGACAGAACGTGCTTGTGTTGTACACTGTAACAGTATGAGACTGACAGAATGTGCTTGTGTTGTACATTGTTACAATGTGAGACTGACAGAACGTGCTTGTGTTGTACACTGTAACAATGTGAGACTGACAGAACGTGCTTGTGTTGTACACTGTAACAATGTGAGACTGCCAGAACGTGCTTGTGTTGTACACTGTAACAGTTTGGGACTGACAGAACGTGTTTGTGTTGTACACTGTAACAATGTGAGATTTACAGAACGTGCTTCTGTTGTTCTGGTTTAATAGTCTGGTTTAAATTGTAAGGTTGTTTATCGTTGATTAAACATCGATAAATGCTACTTTTAGCCGAATAGGTTTATCCCCATTCTACCCTGACTAAAATGCGTTTCTTTTGAAACGGACTCTTTTTCTCGCGCACGTATTTAGTTCAGTGATGCGGTCGGAATGGTCACCGCTCATTAACCACTTCAAATTTAGTAAAAAGAAATAATCAAGCAAGTTAGATAATCCTACATTGTCATGGTAGAATATACAACTTACAAACCCTACTAATAGTGGTCACAAAAGCCAAGGGAAAGATTCTCATCCAATGACGATGAACGGTTCAAAGCCCCTCCCTGAATGGAAACCTATATGAGACTTGTATACTCTCCCTGGTTAAAGGGAGGCTTCGGGGATAGCCATTTAATAATATTGCAATAGCATGCACTAGTGCAGAACATTTTCACAATGATATTGCAGTGGTTGTAAAAGTATTGCAACAATAATGCCACAGTATGATAAAGGCCTTAATCTTCGAACTATGTAGATTTCCTTGCAATATTCACATGACGCCCAAAACCCAACGCGTCCGATATTTCCTGGTTTCAGTATAGGATAAAGGGAGTTAAGGGAGACTGCCCTGATTGTTGCCGGAGAGTAAGTTCTAAATGGATGTTGGAAAAGAGCAATTATTTCAGCATTTCAAAAACACAGTAAACTACGTTTACAACGAACACGCTTATAACGAACTGACCGATATAACGAACTAATGTTTTAGTCCCGGGCATTTGTTGAAAAATGATGTATATGTGCTTATAACGAACTACGGTTATTAAGAACTAAAATTAGTGGTCCCTTTGAGTTCGTTATAACCATAGTTTACTGTAATTAATGATACTCTTTTTCATTTTGTTACGTCAAACTCCGTTAATCCTGACATCCCGCTTTCTGGACTGTAACGGTAAGGACATAACCATATACTTATGATTCGATAATCAGGACATTTTGAAAACGGGAATATTGCCCTGGCAGCGGTGGTGTCTTGATTAACGGGTGTTCGCTGTACATCGATCAGTCATTCCAAGCATGTGCAAGGAACAACCCAAGGACGAGATATCAGGAACTGAAGCGTATTGGACCCTGTGTTGATTAAATGGTCAGCTAATTGACTTGTTGGGCGGAGACCATAGTGTCGACATGTCAGCGTGGTGGCTAGGTCAGCGTTTAGCCTGGATCAACACGGTACTGGGCGGCCAACGACTGAAATCGATGGGGGACAAGGAGGGGAGGGACGTATTGATGGACTGTTTGATCGACTGTTGAGGTACCAAAAGTAACTAGCTAGTCTGGCATAATTGATTGTCGTCTTAAAATGCGGACCTGGAAATACC